ACTTTTTAGTCCCCTGTAAAATCCTCTATTTCTCGGAAAAGGTAAAAGTCTTCAAGATTGACTGGGTGAAAGGTGGATACTGCAAAAAACTTGAAACTTTTGTACCTCTAATGATCCAGTATTTTCTGTCGATATGCTTCCTTCTAGAAGGGCAGAAAGGTCAGGTATGTACCTGTGCCAGGGTAAAATAAATCATTGGCAAGCAGAGACTTTAGGTCAAATAATCACCCTGTGGATAATGCACGTCCGTGGAGAGGACTGGCCAGATTCATCGCTGTGCTCTCGCTGACAATAATGGAGGCTTTCAAAGGCCACAGTCTTTAATTTCTCATCCCTGCTATCAGCGTTTTCATCCTCTAGAGACTTGGGGAGTGGGGGAGGGGGGGTCAGTGGCCTGTGTTCCCCAGCCCCAGAGCCTGCATCCCAGGCTTAAAGGACTGAGAGAGGTGACCGAGGTCAGGCTGTGATTGTTGCCGGAGATGGCAGGCTGAGGGGTCCTGGGGCTCATCGGACCCTTCGCTCCAACACAGAAGCCTCGCAAAGCAGCTCCCAGGTCAGTTTTATCAGGGCATCACTAATGGTTATGATATGATCTGTCTGGCATTGCTTCCAATTAAAGCTCGCTGGGGGAATGTGGCAGCGGCAGAGGGCCGAGCAGTGGTCAGTGAATGTAGACTATTGTTTGAGCTGCTCATTTCTGTGGCGATCAAAGTTCCTTTGTGACCATTACAAAGGGAAGTGGCTACTGGCCAAGCCTATTAGATATGTAGTTGTGGTGTGGAGACAGGGAGGGTAATCAGTCTTCTTACTGATAGCAATGACCAGCCCACTTCTCATTGCGACAAAGACTAACCTCTTCAACACAATGTGAGCTGCAACAAAAGGTTATTCTTCTCGTCTGGGCAGCCTCGCTTTTAGGAAAAGAAAAAATGTCCCAGAGAGCTTCTATAATTTCTGCAAACTTTCCCCATGCCTCTCTCTAAAGTCTCTTTAATAATACCCTTTTCGAATGACTGGGACTGCAGCAAAATCTGAGCTTGTCTGTCCACAGTGTAAAGCAAGTAAGCGTCCACTGAGGAATTCCAATCCCCGTCCAGGCGCTGGCTGACGCTCTGCAGATGTGGTGTGAGACACATGCAGGGCAAGGTGAACCCAGCTCTGGGCTGCTCTGATTTCTCTCCAGCAGGGATGGTAATAGCCCTGTTTAAAGGTGTGAACCTGAAGAACAAACCATTAAGTGTTTAGAAACCCATCCAGAGAGAGTTGAACAGTCCACGCAGTGGGGAAAAAGTTATAAAGAGTAGAAAATTTTTCTTTGGGGTTTTCAGAGTCTATGTTTGACACTAACATTGGAGAGTAACAATAAACAGCTGAAGTTTTGTTTTCCATGTTTTGACCTTACAAAGCCTCTCAAAGAAGAGAGCTTTGAATATATCACCCACTTTTTGTCGGTGGAAGAAAATTGGAGAAGAGTTGGCGCCTAAAGGGGCCAAAGTCAGTATCTCATTTGCATGCCTGAAGTAAAATGAATTTGGCAAACTGCACTGCGCTCTGGAGAGAAAATCTTTATTTGAAGATTGTATATTTAAGGGTGTATCCACTGGAATAAAACTCTGATGGTGCCATTGAAATTTCAAGGCGTATAAAACAAAAAATAACCCAGAATCGGCCTCGTAACCAGAGACAAAAAACAGAATTACATGTTATATTTTACAAACTTCTGATATTCAACAACTTCATAAAAACAGAGCATGTTACTTCACTTTGTCAGACATTTCACAGGTTGACAGTTAATCTCTTGGTGAACTTTCACCAGAGGTTGGTGAAAAGAGTGTTTGGTCATAATGAGGCAGGAGCAGCTGCAGCCCTTTTGAAAGAATGAGGTCACTGGAGCGACAGAGATCAGCATGCCTGATTGGGGGGTTGGTTGTGAGAAGCCCTCAAAAGAACAGGCGACAAACTCTTTCTCATTGAAGGAATGCGCACTGCAGGCGCCTCCTCCTTCTTCCTGCACTTTTTCACTACATGTCTATGTCAGAAATAAATCACTTTAATTGTTCTCTGATTCCCCCTCTCACCATTTTGCAAAATGATAATTGAAACATTAATAGGATGTTAATAGGATGTGTGTCCTGGTAACCTTTGATATAAATCTCCCAGTAATGGAGAATATTCTCCATGACCACCATGAATCAGGAGTCATTAAATATGCGTGGACAAGCACCATTTGGGGGATTTACAAATACAGCTCCTGCATTGCAAATAAGGTTTGACCCAAGGGGATACTGTTGGAAGACAAAGTTTTACTTTTTTCTACAAGAATTACTGCGATATTGTGCTACAGAGTCACTTTTTCCTGTTAATGATAATGAGTCTGGCTTCTTTAAAGTGGGTTTTAAAATGCATGCTTTGCCCTTCAGTCAGAGGCAGGACTGTACCTTTAGTTCAGACGGGTTTGTTATGGGGACCCAGGGGTCTAAACACAGCGGAAAGGGCATGAGGAACTTGAACAAGGAGGGGGTGGGCAGGGCTGGAAAAGTGGTATTGCCCACGAGAGGAGAACTAAGCTAGAAGAAATAAGATCCTCCTTATAGACTAATGGATGTGTTAGCAAGTGCGCTTTCAGACCAGCTTTCATGTTGGCTCCACCAGAGGGTATAGAGGGAATGTAGAATTAATTATAGAAATGAAGCCAACCCTCCTTTTTTGTTATCATGGAGGGCAGCTGTGTCTTTTCCCCCCTTACACGTTTCCCTTCTTTCTCTGTCTGCTGTGGAGGAATGTGTCCTGTTCTACATCTTTTCACCACTTCTCTTCATCAATCCATACAAACGAACTCAAGAGAAAGATCCACTGTGTCTGAGAGAGGTGAAAAGTGGACTCTTTATTGAGTGAGAATGTCAGAGATTGTTGCAGATGGGCAGAGAAAGACAGGTTCTGTCTTCCCTTTCAACTTCTTCCATTGCTATTATACACTTCCACTCAAAGTCCACCAATAAATCAATATTTCAAGTGGGATATTGTGTTGTAATGACATCATACTGTTGACAGTGAAAGTGCTGTCTCAATGACAGACTTCATGCCTCTGTATTGCAGGGTTTTGAGGGACATTTGGAGGTGTTAAATGTCTCAAAAATGGCATGTGTGACTCACTCAAGCACGTGAAAATAACAGCAGCTTTGGATGCAGACATAAGTATATAGTCGTCTCTCTTGGTGGACCGTTCCTACGGGTTGGCTCAGGAATAATGGGGGAGAGTAAAAGCGAATGCATGGACTAATAATGCAGAGCTGGAGTCAGCCTGGAGTCAAACTGTTAATTTCCATTTTAACATGACAAATAGAAAGGGCATCACTTCATATGTTACAATTTTCCTAGTAATAAGATTTAGCAAACCTTTAGCTCAAAATTGATGCGGACTATTATGGCACCTACTCAGATCAATCTCTGGACTCAGACTAGAGACTAATTTTTGGAAGAAATAAGTGCATGCTGTCTGCCTTTGGTTTTTGTTTGGCCTGTATTCGTTATTTCTCCTAATTCAAGGCTAATTGGCCACAAGATACAATGTCAGTTTTGTTACTTATCCACTCTTAGAGTCTCCACTAAATTGCTATTAGCATGGTAATATGATCGGCCCAGTATCTGTGTGGGTGGGCAAAGACAAAAGCTTGTGAAATCTCTTCCTCAGGCCACACAGGCAGCTGACTAAGTGGTGGTGGTGGCAGGGGGGCAAACATTGCTAACCATTTCTTTGTTCCAGCTGCTAATTAAGAACCCCGTCTCAATGACCAGGCTTATGTATTAGGTACTTACGGGGTTAATACAAATAGTTGAACACACAGGGTGCTACGGTTGCCAGAGAAATGCTAAAGTCATCTTTGACTGACTAATTCTTTGTCACTTTTACCTCAGGGATTAGCACCCAGATTAGCCTATGTAATGAATAACATTACGCTAACCTTTCTTTGACCAATGTCTACAGACAGCGTGCTTATACACCTATGCGAAAAAAGATTTATTGTGTTAGACCAAAAATGGACTTTAAAAATACACATTAGTATGACTGAAATCGCACTTAATCCATTTTTTAAATTTTGGACTAATCCACCTCTAGCTGAGATCAATTTCCTTTTCATATTTACACCTCAATGCAACCAAATCTGGCAAAAGTGTCCTATGCTAGCTCCTCAGTTTGCATGCCGAAGGTGGAAAGACATCTGTGTTGTTTATGTAGTGAGATAGGAAGAGTTGTCCAACTTAACAATCTGATGGAGCTATAAACATAGCTCATCATGCCAATACTGTAAAGATCCTGCCCATAGACTGTATATAGAATGGACAGCGTCTGCCTCCTGGATGGGTGAAGCCACTCCGAGAACAGCACCCTCTGGCAACGGGTTGCAGTATAGGTCATAAATCCCTCCAGCAAAGTTTATGGGGCCGTGGACAAACTTTAGGAATTTATTACGCAGAACATAAATCTTTTCCCCCCTGCTTGTGATGTTGACATGTAGTTATTGTAAAACTGGTTTGTGCCAAAGTCCTCTTTTTTTTCTGTACAGCTCCGTTTTTAAAAGTTATTAGGGGGTTCATGTTTTCTATAATTGACACCTAATACAGCCTATGGGTGTACAAGGATTGCATAGCTCACCCGGGGGATATGCTGTTTGAGCCGAGCGTCATCACAGTGACTCTCGGCGACTCTCCCGCTGAATGCGCACAATGCTACTGCGCAAGTGGTGGAGTGCGTACAAAGCTACTGCACAATGTTGGTTTCAGGAAATGGCGAAAAAACGCAGAATTACCGAGATCTTTTCGGCTTGGAATCCGTATACTGGCAGAAGGTGGAACCAAGTTGTCCATAGTATGTACAGTCTATGATCCCGCCAAACCAACCAACCAACACTCAATGGTTGGCAAAGTGATTCAAGCATCTACCCCAGAGTCACAGGGGGCTGTAAAAAAAGGGAAAACTGAAAAACAGTGATGAGTAAAGACACAGAAACAAAGCAGATGACATTTAATAGTTTAATTATAAGCTGCTGTATACATTCAGTGATTATTCCGATTTTCATGTTGCCAGAAGCCATGGGTGAGACCAGCAAAACATTCAGCTACAAGATCTAGTTTGTTGTATGCAATTTGTCCATTGTCATTCATATTTTTCCACATTGTACATAGTTTACTGCAAAGCAACATTAAACCACATTGCTGATGTGCAACATGGTTCTTCCATCACCTTAGTTCACGCAAACATGATTTCACCCAGTGTGCTATGTGGTGTTTGTAGGAGGGGAGAGCCCTGTTTGTGCCTCTCTGCTCCAGACTTTAGCTTTGAGATCAACTGAGCACAGAGGACACAGGAAACAGCAGCGCCGACAGAAGCACGTCTGCAGGTCCAAATGCCCTCAGTTGAAGCTTAAAAAAGTCTCGTAAAATCATGACTGGGCCTAATAGGAAGCCAACTTAGACACTTATAGTAGGTGGAACCCCGTTTACCAGGTTGGGAAACTTTTGTTCTCCTCCTTAGATACTAAGATGAAGCAACATCCTGCAATCTTTAAGGTTTTGTTTGCATCTTTTTTGGTATCTTTTGCTATCTCACTCTAAGCTCGTTGAACTGACACACTAATGTTGGTGCTGATATCGCTTTTTTGTTGTTGATTTTTTTTTTCTTTTTTTTGTCTTTTTTTATAGATTTTTTTAGTAGCCCACACAGAAACTTGATGGCACAAGAACTGACCAATAAGAAACTCTTTACAACAAGGTAGACTGCAACAGTAGCCAGGGGTCACACTTAAAAAAAATCATAATCCAAGTTCATTTTGAAAAGAAAGAGAGAACAAATCAGGTTCAATATAAAAGCAAAAAGACAAATGAACAAAAGCAAGTTAATTTCAAGTATAACTTACTCATAAAATAACTACACAGCATTAAATATTCTCATTATACATTTTTAAATTATTTATAAAATATATTTTGGCATATATGTTTTTTTTCATTTTTGTGTTTGTGTAACAAACGCTACTGTAGCTTCAGTTGAACACCAATGTTTATTTGTTTTTTTCTCTTAAAACAAAACATTAAAGGGATTGTCACATAACAACGGGTTATTAAAAATGATAATAGTAAACCCTATGGAGAGTTTCACATAGCAAGACATGAGTGACGATCCCTTCTATCCTAGCCCCATAGTCAAAAGTCAAAAAAAGTACAAGACCAGAGCACAAAGTTCTAACTTGTGCTCCACTGGCTACAATCAAGGTTGGGCACAGGAGATTTCAAAAGCAGTAAGTCTTTTTTCTTTTTTTCATACAACTCAATTTGAACACAAGGATGTGTCTGTCCCACTTCCAGTGTTCACAGCGGCTGGGCAGATAGCGAGAGTTCATTTAGCTCCATCCTTGATAAAATATAAATACTGTAAAGACCTCACAGTCTGATGACACTAGGACGTCCTCAGGGATACGCAGAGAAAGTTTCTCTTATTAGCCGAGGAAAAAGGGCAAAATGAGACCGAGAGGCCTCCCTTTGCTTCTCCTGAATGCACTGAAAACTGTTGAAGGAGTAGAATGAAGGGTATTTTTAGATGAGTCCTGTGTGTGTCTGCTGTCGTTTATTACATTGATGAAGCTCACTATACAAAGGAACAAAGAGCGATTTTGGCAGCTAGAACAAACTGCAAAAACCAAAGAAGGCAAATTTCAGTTTGTGATACAAAAGTAGTTCAAAAGGCATAACTGTACTCAAGAATTGGCACCTGGGGTGTCCAAACACGTAGTGTCCTGCTTTGGCGCTGGAGAGGGCTGGAGAGCTCCGCTGGCCGTGTCCATGCAGCCGACAGTAACCTGCCTTGCACTCATTGCAGACTGAGAGAACCAAAACTTAACAAAAAGCAAACAAGGAAAAAGTACTGCGACTACGACAAAGCCACATCCACTACCTCGGCTTGAGCACACAGCTAGCTGCAGCATACTACAGTTCATCCTCAGCCCGGCTGCTTCTTCAATATTGTATACTGCAAAATGGGTGTGTCAGCCTGGCTTTCCTCTGTGTACACACAGCTATTGCGGGGTACATATATGTGAGTTTACACTGTTTGTGTGTCTGCAGGTTGGTGTGTATCAGAGGGAAGCTTGCTAAAGCACTATGTCCTTCAGGCGCTTGCTGCTGGGGGATTCCTTGTCTCGGCCATCATGAAGGAGTGTGTTGATCTCCCTGACGGCCGGCTCACTGTCCTTCCCCTCAGGCTGCCGCAGCAGGCTGTGGTTGGCGATGCGCTCTGCGTCGCGGCATTTCAGTGTGTTGTAGGCAGATGACGGCTTGGACACGGGGCTCTTCAGGTGCACAGGAGAAGTGATTGGGCTGGCTGCTTCGCGCCCGTTGCCAGCTTCACGGACAGCCCCTCCATTGGCCTTGGGGCTACACACCTGCGACTCCTGAGTCCGCTTTCCCTTTATCTCGCCCCGCTCCACGTCCTCGGGCCCATCCTTGCCGAAGGTGGCAAAAGTCCTCTTGGTGGTGCCATCCTCGTAGTGCGGCATGTCCACTGTGGTGGCCTCGATGGACAAAGCGATGACGTTGCGAGCGTGCTCTGGTGACTTGGCGCGTGCTGGGATGGGGACTCGCGGCATCCAGCAGCGGTCAGAGTGGCCGAGGATGCGACACTCATCCTGGCAGTGGAAACCTTCACCAGGCTCTGTTTGGACAAAGAAAGAGAACATGATTGTTGGATTCGTTTGTAAAGCCAACTTTCATCCCAACTTCTACACTCATTTTAACATTATTTTTGTTTCTTTTCTTTCCATCAAACAAGTCAAACCTGTCCTAAAATTAAAGAAAATGAACCAAAAACAAGTCTGCTTTCTGTTTTCATTTTTTAAAGAAGTCCAAATTCAACATTTCAGATTCTTTCTGCTGCATCTGCACAACACAGACGTCAGGTTAACACCACTCACTCATGACAAGAAACTGGACATTAGCGGCTCTCTTAATACGACAATTAAATTATGTATTGTCAAATCAAAAGTCCATTTGCTGCTCTGGTTTAATCGGGTTTTCTGTGGCATCAGCAGATGAAAGGCAGGTTTAAACAGTGCAATCAGATCCCTCACAGAGAGACAGCAGACGAGTTGCGGTGTTGTTGCCTGGTTCATCCCCCGCTCCCTCTCTGTCTCTGTCATCTGGCGCCGAGTTATAAATATGTAATGATGTTTAACGCTGGAGTGAAAGGAAGATTTTCTTGCGTCTGTAAAACTGCACTCTTTTGTACTTAGTTGTGTTGGAGGGGAGTGACTTTTTGAGACGATTTCTGCCGCATGTAACAGCAAAACAAGTGTCATGCTCTGTTAATCAGACTGAAATGATGCAATTCTGCTTTTCTTGTTTGTTTGAATCCACACGCGCACGCTGTAATCACCGGAGAGGTGTTGTTTGTATTCGCTCCATACTTAAAAATAAATATTCTGCCCAAGCGATAGAAATAACAAGTCCAAAATCACTCGCTTCTCTGCCACTGTGCTGTTGTGTTTTCCACCTGCTCCAATCTGGAGAAAGAACCTGCCACCGATGACACATTTCTGTGCTCCCCTACTGCTCGTTTTACTCCGAGCAAGAGCCATCCTGCGTTCCAGAGGCCCAAGGTGACAAGCAGGGGATTGTGAGAGGGATTGCCATCGACCCAAATGCATACGCTTACATCTGGCAATCGCAGCTTGACAGATCACCTAATTAAAATCACTAATGATCTGTTTTTCTCCCTTCGTTCCTGCGCTCGTGAGAGGCACCTCCGCTAAAGCCCCGGGGATCGATATTTAAAGATCCGAGACGGGCTTTTTGGGGGCAGATGTGCCAGAGCTGTCCCTCATAAAGTATAATCTGATGAGAGTGACAGATAACACGGTGACTAAATGGCTGGATGAATGAGTATCATGGGCTCAATGCGGGGTAGAGGAGTTGTGGTGGAATCATCGCGCTCCGAGGCTGAAAACATGAACACCAGCTGCAAAAATGCATTCACATGGCTGACCAGTGTGTGCATGAAAGCATCACAGTGAGTCAGAGGCGGCATAGAATGAGCTCTCTTTGATCCTGCTAGTGTCTAAATGGATACACACACACACACACACTGACACACACGCATGCTGACAGTGACACACACACACACAGGCACAGATGTAGCATTATCTCCAATACATGCAGATTGAGACATCCTCTTCCTTACAATGGATGGCATTTTAATAAGCACCTCATATGTAAATGGCCTCTTTTACTGTGAAAAATATTAACTTTAGGGAATACCATTACATACTATAATTCACTTTATCCATTCTGCTGCATAAATAGGCGGTTTTACACAATCTCTCTGCAGTTACAGGCGTTATATGAGGCCAAAAATGAGCAGACTGGATATAATTTCCACTCCTGTATGTATGTGAATTTGTATGAGTGCTGATTGGTTGTAGAGTCTGCACTGGTAGCAATCAAGGCGACAAAAGGCACAAAGCTGGAGGTTTTGTTTAAAGAGAAAGGATCCAATCAGGATGTAATAATGTAATCACGGCTGAAAGTCTGCAGACAGGTACCAGGAACATAACAGAAGGCGATGACTATTATAGAAGAAAAAAAAAAAAACATGCCCACACACTAGATTACATTGTCCAATGTGGCTGTATTTTTACAGCCGCTTTTAAATCCCATGTCCTCTTCTCTAATCCTATGTAGCAGCTTTAGTTTGAACTCCTTTTTGACGCCTTTACTTTGATTAATTGTAAACAAGCTTTCAGTCAGTTGTCCACCTTTCAGTCGCAGAGGCGGTGTAAACCATATAACATTTTAGCACTTTTAACATCGAATAAAACTAAAAACTGAAAGTTGACATAAGTTCCGAGCTTGTACACATTTGCTTTCCTGGCTTTAGATTTTGCATTCTGAAATTTCTCCCTCAGTCTTGTTTGACGTGTTTGACAAAGTAGATCATTTTTTCCCTCTGATTAAAGATTTACAAGCATCTTACTAATGAATGCAATTTCCTCTAAACACTTTGGCTTTTTTCTATAGCCCCGAGCACTTTCTAAAGCACGAAAAGCCTCCAGGCACAAAGAAATATACACAAGTTGTACGCTCTCTCTCTCCAGCGGCACTTGCATATGCAGTGAATACCACTTTCTCTCCTTTCCTTTAGGGGTCTATGGGAGAGCAACTGGGTTGTAAATGACATTGTTCTGAAAAGCCAAGTGCCATTAAGGCTCACACATCCTGCCTCTGCGCTGAGCTTCATAAAACGCAGATGTTGCTCTAAAAAGACACAAAAAAATGGGGAAAAAAGTGACAGGCCATCGACCTCTTACAAAACACAACCTCCTCCCAGTGCAAAAAAAAAAAAAAAGAGCTAACTGTAAGGGTGAAAGATGAATTAATGGCTTTTACAGCTCGGCATGGATTTGGAAGTCAACAACTATGAAATACAAAGATCGTGAAGGCACCTCCTGCTGTGAAAGCGCATTCAGAGTCATCAGGAAAATAAGCTTGCCAATCAGCTCCAGGAACAGACTTTAAGTTCAGCACAAGGCAGGATGTCATTGGGAATATTTCCTATTTATGATTAAATATGAAGTAATTACTGAGGGGGTTCCACTGGGAGGTGGAAACTGTCTGTGATTTTTAGTGATCCATATCTGAAACTCAAACACTTGAACGGCAGCAGAGGCAGAGACTCGGAGTATCACATGCAGGAATCAGGAATACTTTGCTCTATTATACAGTAAAGGTCCAAAGACAGGCAAAGACACATGGGAGCACTTTGAATGTGTGTGTACTGATGTTCCTGGCATTGGAAATAATAAATATTACTTCTTCGAACGCAGAAGACTAACTCTCCTGACAATGGTGTCCATGTTTTCCTGAGCAAAACTACCTGGAGTTATCACTTTGAACCAGCAAAGAAGGAGGAAAACCCACATTTCCCGCCAGCAGCTGACTCAATACTGTCTCTTTCCCTCAATCTGATAAAAACGTCTTAACTTCAACTCACGGCACACAGATCTCCAGCTGCAGCTTGGGGATCCCACAAGTCGACAAGCTCATTTCTCAATTTCCCCTTGTGCACGGCGTATAATGATCCCTTCATGTCATACAGCTGGAGGTGCTATTTGTTTGTTGCTAATGTAGCAAAAAAAGAGGAATCAGCAAAAGACCAAAATCCCCTAGACACAAAAGGAGAAGGGATGCGTTCACTGAAAAAAAAAAACAACAACAACGAGGCAACTCCCCGAAAAGCTCCCAGAGCTTTCGCCAGCTATTTTGTGCCCTGTTTGGCTAACACACAGAGCCTGGCTTGGAAAACAAAGGCGCTTTTCCCTCCAAAAGTAGCGCACACAGCCTCGAGGTTGAATACAATGATGTAATCCTGCAAAATGAGTGTAAGCAGCGACATGAAACAGGGAGGGCAGATTGGAGGGCTGGAGATGAGACGGGGTGATACGAACCCACATTCAGGTGGTAATATCTTCAATGAGGATTTCTTACTTTCACTGGAGCCACAAGCTCTTGGGAGGGATTTTTGCAGTGTGACACAATTCAGTCAGTTTGGTTTTACAGCATGAAGAACCCCCAGAAAAAGAAAAATAAAAAAACACAAAACAAAACAGGAACAGCAGTGTGGCATGATAAATCATTTTGCGAAGAATGTCTGCCACTTTGGGCCTAAAATTCTTCTTTCAAGCTGACATTCTTGTTGTAGCTGAAACAATAAATGTCCTGATTCTGTTTGTCACACAAAGAAGCACTCTTCTTAACAGACAGCCAGACAGTTTAATGTAGATGTAGCTGTTATAAAAAGCAAATAATGTGGAGCAATTTAGATACACTTAACTTGCAGCGTGCGTCGCCTTCGATGATTTCCTTTGATTTAATATTTTACCTCTGTCTTTGATATCAAACAAGAAAACACTATCAAATACAGCCTGTCTACAGTCCGGAAAACACATTCAGCTCTGAAGTTGAAGGAGCAGAAAGACACATGATGTTTTGTGTCTGTTTCTGTTCCTCTAATATCCACAGAATCTACCAGAAGTTCATAAAAGTGGCCCCAGCCCTGATCACCTTTTTTGAGGACAGCCTCGCTCAGAAGTGTACGGAGGGATTTTGTTTGCTGCTGAAGCGCCGTCCACTCCCTCGCTCTCATCTTTGACAGCGAGATGGCTGTTTTCTAATTGCTCTCCATATTAATTTTCCATCCTGGCAGTCACATGGCAAAGATTGATTAAATCTAAATTGTTACTACAGAGTCTTGATGGAGCCTGTGATGCAGAAGCTGAGAGGAGTATCACAGGGGAGGCAGAGAAATCTGAAAATATGGCACCAGCAGAATGGAGGATGACTGCCTGTGTCTGTGGCTTAGAGTCCAAACTGTGCTTGAGAGCTAACAGGCTTGGCCCCGCCTGATAGCGACACTAGGGAGGGAGCTTAAACTCTGCTCTGCCCCAACTTCAACAGAGGGCAGCTCCACGGCCAGCTGAGGCCGAGGCTTGGCCGAGCAGCCTTCTCCACCGCACACCAGGGAGAGTCCAAGCACTGCTGTCATCCCAGCCAGCCAATTCAGTCTGCGGGCCATAAATCAGCCTGGAGGCCTGGCTCCTGCGGGAGCGGCAAGATGGAGTGTGATGGTCTTGTTTTTACAAACAGTAGAGGGGCACCCTTACTGCGCCACGCACAGCCATCATTCTCCACACAGCTCCGAGTCCTCTCCTTCTCCCTGCAGCATCTGGTTCAGTCACATCAAGTTATCCCCCCAAAAACACCCCTATATTCATCCTCCCTGCACATCCTTTATGCGTCTCCTCCTTCTGTCCTCCTCTTTCATCTCATCAGTGCCGCTGTCTCATGTACCTCGCTGTAATTAAATAAATCCTTCACCCAAAAATTTCTCCCTCTCATTTCTGCCGATCTGACGCGAATTCCTTCAACTCACTCAGTCAAATATTAATTGTCGAGGAAATTAGAAGCACTGGGCAGCCTTGTTAGCACTGTCATACGGGCTGGTGGAGCCCGGAGTTCACGTGGCTCTGGTTTCTATTTCTGAACATAAGCACCAGCCAATCTATCAAGAGTAAAATCGCTGTCTTATCCATCCTGGACTGCAGAGTGTCTGACAGCTTGTCACTTCCACCAGTCCTGCCTCTGTCCTCCCTTTAACTGATGCACAATGTTAGCTTAATTTAACCCTGCCTTATATTCTCTCAAAGTGCTCGTCAGTAGTTGTTTTTTAAAAAGGAGGCAACAGCTCAAGCCAGATCCTGCGACTGCTTGCTTCCACTCCCCTCCCTCTGCTGCCGGTCCATCCGCCCGGCCGGCCTTCACATTCTGCAGTCAGTCCGGGTATAAAGAATGAATTTCCAAACTGGTGTTGACAAACAATGCACTAGCTTCTAAATTGGTACAAACAGCATCTGTTTAACAGCTGTGTAACAGCAGCAGGGGGAAAAAAGCAATCACTACGCTCTTTTATAAATCACTATGTCATCGCAGAGCACTGTTATGTGAGGAGCAGGACCACTAGCCGATGGACTGCTTGATGTAGTGGAAAGGATGTGGTGCTGCTTGTCGGGAGGACATACATGAGCGGACTGGCTTTAGTGCACACGGCAACAGTTACTATTTCACTGAAAGGATCCTCTCACCTTATTGAGCCCACCCAGCCTCTACAGCGAGGTTGTAATATCTCACTAATGTTTAAGACTCCAGGAAAATAACTTTTGGCCTCTATTATGACACACCGCAACACTTGAGGAGTAACGATTTACAGCGGTCAGATTTTGTGTGATCTGTAGGGTTTTTAGTCCACGAGTTATGCCCTAGTTTTTATACAGTAAATAAGCCAGTGACTCTTTGACTCTCTCCACAGGCACTCAGGACTGGATTTAACCCAAGCAGCAAGGCAAAAAGCCAGGCTGCAGAGTGCTTAACTGGGCTAAACAGAAATAAAGGAGGACACAGAGAGGCTCTAAAGATGGAAACAGCACTGATACAACAAACCTTAATATCTGCAAAATATTCCTGAATGAAAGAAGATGGGATCTGATCTTTACAGAAGGTAACCTTGAGGCTTTTGGGCTGAGCCGAGTAGTCTAGTAAGTTTGGCCCCCAAGAAAAAGACAAAAAAAAATGTGATTTTGATAGATTTTTATCAGGTAGAAGAAAAAAAAACACAAACTGAAGGTGTAAGTTTCAATTTCCCATGTGTTGAGATAATCGATCGATTGTCTATTTAGCATTTAAACTGTGGACTCTTCATTGTTTGTATCACTTTTATTCACTGTCTTTAATCTGGACTTTATTTCTGGAATAAATTACTGAATTGAATGAAACTGTATAATTGTTAAATGCTGATTTTACAGCGAACAAGCACAAGTATTAAAAAGAACTTTTAATATACCTGTGCTCTCCCCCTGCTAAAAGATAATGATGCCAACCATATCGCTGTCAGTGAAATAAAAAATCGCTTTAATAACTTTGTAGCAGTAAATTAGCTACTTTTGTGGCCATATATAGCACTATCAAGAGAAAGCTAATCAGGGATGTAATTCAGTGATCATAGAAAATTTGTCTTTGGGTTATGAGTGTTTTAAAGGGATAATTATTTTAAAATATGAAAGACAGGATGAAAAAGAAAGCAATTAAAGCCAAAAGAAATGGCAATTGAGGCTCATTTTTCTCATTTAATTTGATATATTTCCAGTTAAAATGGGAGATTGTAGGGAAACATCGCAGGGAGAAGAATTATTTTGATTGGAGAATAAGAAAAAGTGGTAATTTGATTTGATTTATGGGGATAACTTTGATAAAGGGTTTTGTCTGGTTGTTCTATCGCTTTAACCTGTTCTCGCACTATTAATACACATTGTAAGTTCACTATTGTTGAACAAAAAGAAGATAAGCCTGAACACTGGTGGACGTTTTCCTCCTGGGGTTTATTACATGTTTGACCACACTTTCCATTACGGTGCTTATCAGCCCGTTGGTGTGAAAAATCTACATCCGTGGGTGTAGCCGTCGTCTTCAAACTGCTATCACCTGACGATCATCAGCGGGCCAGAACGAGAATGGGATTTAAAACTTCTCTAGGAATTAAGGAAGTGTGTGGGCTTATCTTCTTCTTCTCCTTCTTACTGACGTTTTTTTTTTTTTATTACCCTGCATGTGATGTGCACACACTGCAAAAACTCAGAAGAGTTTAAGTTTATTTTGTCTTATTTCTAGTAAAAATCTCGATACAGACTTACTCTGAGCCACATTGACTGACAAGTCCAGATAAGCATCTAATTTCAAGATATTACAAGCCCAAAAGAAGACTCTAATGGTTTGTAGTGAGTAAATAAATCTGCCATTAGAGTAAGAAAGCGGAAACCATGTTAAATATTATGTTGTTGAATAAAATGTTAAAAGATTTAAGATATGGGCACTGGTCTGGTCCTTATTCAGGCCATAGTCCTCAAAGTGGGCGACTCTGGTTTGTATCCAGCCTGTGGTCCATTGCCAAAAGTTTCTCCCCAGTTGTTTCTCCCAGTTACCAGCTTTATTCCCCTCTCTCAGATAAAACACCCTAACCCAAAAATAAACCAAGAAAAAAATAACACCCAAATTTATCCAACAAGTCACTTCAGAAAGTGCATAAAAATAAAACCTGACACTTTACAGCTTTGTTATTGTGTTTTTCTTTTTTACAATCTGGAAATTAAAGTATTTTGTTGTGCCGTGGTGCGATTTACTTCACAATAATAACAAAGCAAACATCACCCTTGTCAATTCTCAGCGTCCAAATTGCTCATCTAACGACGTGCCTCAAATTAACCTGTGCTCTGTTGCTCCAGACCCACAGCAAGAGTAAAATCCACCCACAAAACTCAGCGCACCAGGCCGCTGGCATCTCAGGTACAGACCTGCCCACTCCACTCTGCAATGCCAGCCAGCCTGTCTGTCCGCCTGCCTGTCTGTGTCTGCTTGGCTCCTTTCCTCCACAATATATCGGCAGAGGACATCTTTAAATACACTGGAACAAATACAGCAATTCTGTGTTTAAGCTTGACCGATCTGGCAAGCTAATTTGCTCCTAAACCCCTGAGTCTGAGGGAAACGGGGGGGACAGAAACAGACGCTTCAATTACATCTGAGGATGGGGTTGGGTGGGTGGAGGAACACTCGATGAGGAGCATGGATGGAGAGGAGGAGAAGATGGGGCTGGGTGATGGTAGTCAGAAGTAACCCTGAAAAAAAAACACCAATCTAAGTTTAATAAGTGGATATAACTCCCTGTTGGACTGCTCTAAGTTTTCAACAGTTCAACTGGGTGAGACAGAAAAATAAATAAATTTTAAATGTCAGTGAAATATTACACTGGACTGTGAAAAATTATATTTTTGCGGCATGGGGCTTTTCCTCAATAAACAACAGGTCCATGACAAATTAAAGATGCTGCTTTAGCAACGCCAAGTTTTCTATTTTGGAATCCTATTTTACTCCCCTACAGCTAAAAAAACACACAAGTAATAAAGTGTGGGAAATTGGATTTAGAATTTAATGGCTTTGAGTGATCTATAACCCATAAATATCTCAGCGTTAGAAACCATTATATCCTCACATTCGCTATAAAGAGACGTTTCTCCTCATTTTTCTTCTTTTGATATTTCTCTTTTTAAAGTGCCATTTCTATTAGCTGTCTGAAATAAACACAATACTTCAGCACCTGTCAGTGTGTCCGGCTCTGAATTAGTGGAGACGGCACATCAGGCAACATACCGATATATCTGAGGACTTCAACTCTCTGTGAGCTTCAGCTTTACCTCAAAAGAAGTGGCCTTACATAATTAATATAATGTGGCTTCTCATCCAGTCATGTTCACTTTGTGTCAGCCAGGACTGTGTGTTTTATATTCCATTTTATCTCGTCGCAGAAGCTCCAGCATGGTCCCTGCTCTCTCCCTCTCATTTTCTTCCCCTTTTTTTTCTGTTTAAAAAAAAAAACCCGGCTTGTCTCTTTTCTCGACAGTTTTAACAACCTCTAGAAGTAGGACACAGAAACATGGTGAGTATGCAGAGTGATGGGCAGGTTTAGCACAGCGTGCAGAAACATATACAGTAAAATGGGCCAGATTAGGACACCGGTTGTGGTTTTAAAAGACAGTCCTTCTGTTTTCCTCTGGACTGGATTGACAGTGTCACTCGGGGAAGAAAAAAAAAAGGCACAAAGAGGAAAAAACAGAGTGAGGCCCTGGCTGCGTGCAGATGCATTAGATTTACACCTACTGGGCAGAGGAAAAGCCAGAGGGAGGCCCTTCTTACACGTTTCATTTCGCTGTCACAAAGGCCATTCTGTTTGGCATCTGGGAGTCATGCTGCTCCTCTCCTAGCTTCTCCATTATTCACCTCAGTGAGGTCTACCACTTAATATCTGGCAGTCAGAGGCAATGTCCGTAGCATTAGCCACCCACTAGCGAGTGCTGCACTATACAGAGGATTGTCAGCGGTGAGAAAGCAGTGGTATCTAAGACACACAGATTGAAATGGAGGTGGGAGACTGAGTCTGAAGAAAAGAGAAGGAACTAACAGGCACATCGTCTCTGATTTAAAGAACATGAGTGTAGCATACATAAGGATGATGATGGGGGTCTGACACAGTGGTAGTAATTGGATTTCTCAGGCCTGGTGCCCACTCATGATAACATGCTGAGCTGTGACATGAAAAGTCCTTATGTGTGGTGAGGGGAGCAAGGTGCAGCAGAGTGGAAGTGACAGGTGTCAAAGATCCAATTCCCTCGCTCCTCACCATCCTCCAGCTCCCTTTTTCTCTGGAGGAACAACCTGCCCTGTGGTTAAGCCAAACACTGAGCTTGACATTCAGTCGCTAATCCAAGCTGGTTGAACCCATGCAGAGTGCAGCGATGAAGAAGAAGAAGATGAAGAGGAAGGAGAAGAAGAGGAGGTGGTGGTGGAGGAAGATGGAGTGAGGGTAGGGGGCTGGCAGGATATAAGAGGTCACAGTCTGATTGCTTGCGTTATTTATTTTCTGAGGCTAATGTGAGCTGAATGCAGAAGCAGCGCAGGATGATGTGCCGGAGAGCACACAAAAGAGCCTGGGACCCCCGCTGTTGGTTCTTAGAGATGTTGTGGGGTAGCACAAGGACTGGCCACATACCCTCCCCTACCCCCTCCTCTCTGTCCTCTGCATGCATCCTGGCTCTGTCTTTAACAAGGACTGCAGGAGAACAGGCACATCATTAAAAAGAGCCATTCGGAGACTTTCCTGTCTGCCATTAAACTTAACAGCCAACCTCTCCCATTACCTTTTATCCTCCCCTTTAAAGAGGTGGGGGACAGAGAGGTTTGAAAAGTCACATTGGGCCGCCAACATGCAACCACGGAGTGAATCTTGTCCTCCAGACAATCGTGCATGAAAAGAACAACAGTAAAACCTCCTTAAATCAGGCGAAAGTATGAGTCTTTGTATACTAAATCAGATAAATGTAACACTTCATGTAGTATTTTCATGGTTCACATTGACCCGATTTCACATAATATACTAATGTGATATGATAATTACCCTAATGCCCATAAATATGTGCTGTAGCCTTAAGGAAGTAATGTTAGCAGCACAACACAAAAAGAAGGGCTCTGGTGAATTATGTGTTTAATGTTGATGAAGTTACTCTAATTTGATTATCCAACACCGCCAGCGACGCCACAGCGCAGAAACATAACTCTGCTTCCTGTTCAGCAGCTGACCTTCTCACACATGCACACAAGACGAAAGAGGCAGAAAACTATGTGTTCTTTACAGTGTGTGCATAAAACATGCAAGCATATTGACCAGGAAATGCAATGTATATTCCATGCTATGTTCACTTTTAATCTTTATTCATCTCAAGTTACATTAATACACGCTCACTTAAGGCTACTGGACTTCTACAAGAGGAAGTGAAACACAGTAGAGTCTCTATGACAGAATTATAGTTTCAAAGCATTCAGATTAAAAAAAAAAGAGAGTTCTCCATTATCCATCAAATCTGAAAGAGACTTTTGTGACCACCCCCAAAACAGCTGATTTATCACTTTACAAGTGATAATACAGGTTTTGACTGATATCTGCCTGGCTCTGCAGAGATGAAATACATGTGACACTCAGTGCAGCACCTCAGTAGTAAGGAGAAAGCTACAATCCAGGTGACGGATCATACAAATACAGAGCTGCCAAGCGTCACATGCTTTGAGTGTGACAGTCACGCAATTTGACTCATTCTCACACCACACACCACACTTGACATTTCTCACGCTTACATCTCCCCATTCAATACTCTGTATTTATGTTTTTCATGATAATAAACCTGGCTTTCCATAGTTCGAGTCACTCTGATTGACTGACTGAGATAATCAACCCCAGACCAATCCATCAGTCCTTTGGCCTAAATCTAACCAAGACGGAAGGCACCACGCAAGAAGCAACGTGCGGCGGGTCTTGGCGTCTCTTTCACACACAACAGCGCTGACATTCAAAACCTACTCGACGTACACCTGCTCTACTGAAGGCGGACAGTAGGTAACTAGGACATCAGTCTTAAGGTATAAATCTATCTTAAAAAAGGGAAAAAATGTTTTGCCGCCGACGCATTATAACGCTTAAGTCTCACTCTTGTCATCTTCTGAAACTTGGCAGCCCTGCAAAATATAACCACACAATGTAAATATCTTGTATGGATGACCCACTCGGGAAGGCTGCTGTTATCAAATCTCTGCGCTGGTTTTAGATGATAGTTCTGCGTTGTTAGCTAGCGCTGTATTTTTGTCAAGCTACATAACACACATAGAGCATCAGTAATCTAGGATAATAAGGGACTTTTTCTAGGATATGATGCAATTTGATAAGATAAGACACAGTACTAAATAAGGGTGGGAGAAAAAAATCGATACAGCAAGTTTGCAAGATGTGCTACATGAAAATAAAATACAGCATAAATAAGACAAACATAAAGGAAGGCCAAATGCTAAATTAGCTTAACAGTTGAAAAGATTGTATCGATCGCAATATATTGTATCGCAATACTCACTGTATTGCAAAATGTTAAAAATCGCAATAATATTGTATCGTGGCCCAGGTATCGTGATAATATCATACTGTGGGGCAGCTCGTAATTCCCACCCCTAGTACTAAACCTTGATGCCGGCAATTCGTTCACTGCATCAGTTAGAAAGATAAGATGTCTTTGTAATATCATTTTGTCCTATTTCAAACTAAAGCATAGTCACAACAAAATCCAATCCTTATTTAGCAAAGTTTGTTTCCTACTATTGTGTACAAAAGGTCAAACAATACAAAGCCTTTTCAGTTTGGCTTCACTTTGAGGTAAATCAGTGCTTGAAAAAAGGATAGACTGAGCACAGAGGTTCCACAGACTCCAGTATATGAAGACATGCTGACAGACAAAATCCAAACAGGATCTTTCATGGACCAAAAGGTCAAGGAATGTTTGGGGGGGAGGCTCCCTGCATCCACATACACCCACATACATGAACACACACACATATACACATCAGCAGGTCCCTCCTCTCTGTTACATAGTCTTCACTCTCTCATCAATAGTTTATAATCTGGGTCAGCAGCAGTCACATTGTTCCTCCCACCATTGAGACCTTCTCAAAATTGTGAAATTACAACGCAGTGAGCTCATCCTTGCAAGGTTACGTAGAGGGCAGGGGGGGGAACACTGACACAAATTGGTGAATGAAAGATAGTAATGACAGGGGTGATTTGGATGACTTCTCTTTAACCTCTGGTATACTTGTGCTGAGTACAAATGCAAAGAGTACAACCTGCCATGTTATGTTTTACAGTATATATTCAAGGTCTGTGTGTGAGAAATCCTGCATTTCACAACTGTAAAATGCTACAGAATAAATTATTCCACTGAATATACATGAGGAGAGCAGGATATGGAAATATTACAGCACTACGCCTGAGGTAGTAACCTTTTGTTGGTGCAACTGAGGAGGGCGATATAACTTTACATATTCCTGCTACATATTCCATCAGAGGGATAATGTTGTCAGGTGAAACAAGGGGATGAGAGCAAAGATAAAAAAAAAAAAAACACGCAGGCAGGGATGACAAAGCATTGAAATGAAAGAAAAACTGAATCTCAGATGCATTAAAAGGATGGGGAGGTTTTGCACACAGAGCGAGAAGTAATGGGGTTAAAAAAAAGAACATTTCTGCAGCACAGGAGATCCCCTCTCTCTCTCTTTCTCTCTCTCTCACTATCTCTATTTCTCTCTCTTACTTGCTTCCTCCCTCATCCCAGCTGCAGTGATAAATGTCTCTTTGTATTCCGGACAGAAAACTGCGGGCTACAATGTACTTGTCAGAAGACAGCTGATTTTCCCCTTAAACAGAGCGGAGTATATTCATAATCTTTTCCCTTTCACCAAGGGAGAAGATAAAACAAATGCGGCATGCCAAGATGCATAATGCCCAGAAAATCTCTCCCCATCCCCTACATGTTTATGTTACATGTCATGATCGTGCTTCTGTATGCAGGTGTTGCTATAGCATGTGCAACTGCATGCTATATATATACTCAAAACTTCACAGCATCCTTAAGCCCCACAGTATAGCCAGGTTCCCACTATGAGGGCTCATAAATGGGAGTCGGTGCTACAGGTAATGGAGCTGATTATAGCTATCTGGGCTCCCGGCCAGCTGCCAGACTCGGCCCTGCCTGAAGGGAGCACAGGCCGCCTGGTGTCTGATATCCTGGGATCCCTGTAATACAAGCCTGGCTTTGGCAGTCACTCGGTGCCCACTTCCAAGCCACACACTGAGGCTCCTTTGAGTTAGTCTATGTGTATAGCATGTCCTCATCTGTGTGTTTACTCCACACGCTAGCAGTCCAAAGAAGTAGCATTTCAGCAACAAGGCTGATGTGCCTTTGGAAAGCTGGATTAAGGGGTTTGGGGAGGGATTCAAGTTGCAAGCAGAGAAGCAGGAGAAGGTCTGTGGCAGAGTGATGCTGATGGCTTTTTACTGCTCAGCACACAGACTGCACAGACAACAACAGCTAATCAGTGTTTGACATATTCCACAAGCAGAGTCATAAAAAGCAACTTCCAGAAACCGGCAGAGGACAAATGCTCACAAAACCTACATCCGCAGGAGAATTAAACATCTTTACAGCTTGGTTTTGTCTCAATATCTCATGTCATTCTGTGCAACAACTGTGCGGACAATTATGTTTTAAATTCCCTCACTAAGATTTAAATATAACTCGGCATACTTAGGGGTGGGGATTGATTTGACTGGCAGGTGTTGACGTGTTGTTGCTATTTGCCCCGTGGATAAGCCAATACACCAGTCTGTAAATGTATAAAGGTTTCTCTTTCCTAACCGGCAGCAACAAGAGTTACTGCGAAAGTCAAGAGCTCTTGAATCAACAAAAAGACATTTAATATCTGGAGCATCCTTGGGAATTAATTTTTAAATCATTCTCAGTTAGAAGCTGACACAACAGTTACTGTTTTACAATAAGAAGATGTTAGAATAAATGAAAAAACAAATCAAAACTGTCGCTAGTGCTGTTTTTTTTCTTATCCAAAACCTCTTCTGCTGGGATTACATATTTTGCCCTGCGTCCCCCAAAACCCCTTCAGATTATGGCTAAAAGTAATCTGTTTACATGTGGAAATGCATTTTCCAGGAATAAGATTAGAAAACATGTCTTAGTTTGGTTTTTGAGAGAGTTCAAAGATTTAAAAAGTCGTGTTTTCAGTAGCATAAAGCACAGGAAGAGATGAAGAATGACTGCCAGTTAGAGAGAAGAAAGAAAAAGCGCTTCAGTGTTATGAGCCTTATTTCTAGCAAGGCTGCCTCCCCCTGCAGACTTCCACATTCAAGAAACAAACAGTGTATTAAAACCTTTAAAGAATATCCCACTGCTTCACTGTGTTTTCTATTGTTACCGTATACAATGTGTGTGTGTGTGGTGCAGCCTCTGCACTTTCCCTGTTTATGTGTGGGAAGGACGTAAATAAGGAGCAACATGGAAGAGGAGGCTTTGTTAACCTCTCATTACACAAAGATAAGATTATCGCCGCTAAATGTAAATCGAGTTAAGATAGAATTGATGGCGGCAAGCCAAACTGGTAGTTCGAGATCTTATCCCATTAACAGTATGGCAGAGGTGAGCTTTTCTATTTCACTAAACAGTACGAGATACTATTGTAGGCAGGGCTGTTAGGATAGGACCTCGCGGTGAGTGTTAACTTAAAAATCAATGATTAAAAATATCTTATTATATCTACCAAAACAAACCTCTGTTCATAGGGCTTGTTCTTGTACTACCTTGTTCTGTATGCCAGTGCAGACAGGGTTGTGCCCACACTTTGACCTCAAAGAATTAAAACTCGAAGGTGCGGTTAGGAAAAAATGGCTGCTGCCTCTTTCCCTCAACAAGAAGTACGAATCAATCAGAGCCGCAAAGGTGAGCAGGCCGGAGACATCGCTGAAACTCTGCTGCTCAAATTTCACTCCATTGCCCTCCTACCAATAAATCCCTCTCACTTGTGCTATCTTCTTTTCTCTCCCTCTTTCTTTCCTCCTGCTTTTCTGATTAACCTACAGCCACACACACTCCTCACACTGTGTACACACACACTCTCTCAGGCAGATTTAAAATTCACAGACCCTCCTCTCTCTTTAATACACACTCGGCCCCCATCAACTCCAGCACATTACCTGTTCTTAATCTTCCTCCCTCTGTCTGGGATCATCCTGATCCCCCTGTTTTCCCATCTGCTGTCAATTGGGCCTCAGCTTGGCTAGGTGTTCAACAAACAACTGTGATTCACTTGGTTTCTGCGGAGATTATTAACACACCTAGCATGCCATAGCGCCATGAATAAGCAATGGAGATCCGAAGCCCTATTTTCTCCCTCTGTCTGTTTCCTCCTCTCTTTCTCTCTCTCTCTCTCTCTCTCTCTCTCTTTCTGTTGCTCTCTCTTGCCCTGCCGCGTTGTGAACTGAATGCCAGGATTGTCTAGAAAATGAGCTGTCAGTGGAGGGCCTGCAATGAGATACATCAGGCTCATTGTGAGCCCTAGAAAATAATGAACTATTCCCATTTCTCTCTCTGATATGTTCAATACGCTATCCATGACAAGTGCAGAGAGATAAGCAGTCCCCTCTTGAGCTGATTAAATACACTGGGTATATTCAGGAGGGCTTTGGCAGAACGCGGGTTCGGGAGATGCTATTATAGTATTATAACATTACTATATGTTTTCAGTCTAGGCTGGAGAAGAAGAAAAACCCATTTGGATGCATTTTTTGTTTGTGTCTGCGCCGGCTGAGGAAGAGCAGCTAGGGGCGATGCTTGTAAAACCTTAACGGAGAATCAAAACATGTCAAGTTTGTTTAAGTCTTTCTTCACATCCCGTAACTTAGTCCCTCCTGGGATTAACTAAAGAACTGAAGGGACGGGAGCTCCGATGATTTTTTAAAAGAATATATTGGTTTACTCGCGTAAGAACTGCAAACAAACAGAACCAAGAGGCCGCTGCCAATTTCTTTAAATTTAGAACATACATAAAAGCAGTGGAGTGAGTGCAGAAGCTGGTTTACTTTCTGTATTATTTACTCTATAAAGGAAGAGACAGCTAGAAAACATCGTCGCTAGAAGCAATACATATCTCTCGTCCGCTCTTCAAGTTGCAGTATCCATATCGGCTGCCTTTGTCTGATTACATTAAAAGCACTTTTGGTAAAATACACCGAGAGATCTCACTGCATCGCACAGTTTCATTCAGAGACAATTAAAGAGCCGAGCACAGATGGACACAGCTTGAAACAACGTTATATTCTCTTTTTTTTTGACTTCCTCAAGTCTCCACGTCTCAGAGGCAAAATCTGCATCCTTGTTGTTCATTACAGACTCCATCACACCTGCTTGCGAGCATCCTCTGGTGTGTTTGAGCCTGCAGTGTGTGTGTATGCGTGCACTCTGTCTTCCTTATTGCTCGAATTGCACTAAGCTCTTTGTCACTGTCAGCCATTTTACCTCTACCATGGGTTACACATTAGATTAGACAAATCCAAATCAAAATGGATGGCCCCAGTATGGAGTTTGTGTGTTAATCTAATCATAAGACATCATAGCCCAACATGTGTTGTTGCCAGTGCTGGATCACAAGAAGAGTTTTGGTGCGTAATTTAATCAAATGTTGTTTGATAATCAGTCAAATCCTCTGGCAGGTTAACACAGAGAGAGAGAGAATATGAGGAGGGGGGAAAAAAACTACCTGTCAGAGAGATAGTTTCCTCTTTTCAGATTTTTTTTCCTCTAATTTCCCCCTCACTAAGACTGCTTACTAGACTCTCAGCTCGTCTCTCCATCTCTGTCTCCCTTATATGCAGCCCCTCTCCCTCTCCCTCTCCCTCTCTCGTGTTGTCAGCAGCACGGCCCTGTTCCTGTTGCCTTCCTCATTCTGACACCTGTCAGCATTTTTGTTAGTAGATCAGAGGACTGCAAACTCAAAATGTTCCCCGTGTTGAATTTAGGGCAAGTTTGCAGCAGAAACATGTGAGCTTGCTTTTACTCTGTCTTTAATTCAACAGGGGTGGGGGAGAGAGAGAGGAGGGGTTGGAACTGCTTGAGTGGCACAAAGTTGGGAGATGTTTGCAGCCAGAGAAAGATGACGTATGGAAAGAAAAGGACAGAAATTAAAAGGGGGGAGGGATGAAATCAATTAGGAACAGCGGGACCCTACGGATCTGCTGATGGAAGAAGGGAATTTGTAGAAGTCTGCGACCCACAGAGGGGGGCTTCCATTCCTGGGCTGCAGCTTCAGGCACACACCCACAGGGAGCGAGAAGATAGATGAGAGATATTCTCCAGAGGTGGAGGCCAAGGAATGTGTCAGAAATAAAAGAGGCCTGTTCCCTGCTCCGGCTAATTGAGCAGTCTTGGATCCCTTTGAGCCTAATAAACCAAAAGGAAGGGGCTTTTATTTCCTAACTCTTACATATTGACCCGGTAATAATCCTAAAACGAAGAGCACAAACCTCGAAACCCACAAATCGGACACTGTTCAACGACATCATACTCTCCCTTTCTCACCCTCCTGCGGAGATAACTCGAGTGATTTAACAATACATGAATCTTAATCCCTGAAAACCATGGCTCATCCATATCCGAGAGGAATTAAAGTGTGAGCTATGACAATCAAAGGGAAGTTGAAAAAAAATAGATTTCGCTCTCTTTGTCACCATCCTCCTCCGAGTCTGTTCCCTGGCTTCTCCCTTGACACTAATGGTTCTGCGGAGCCAAAGCTAGCATGTCGCACATTTCAACCAAATCCCCCCTCTAACTTCACAGACATGCCTATAAAGATAAAGAAGGATTCATTTTATATAGCTCCTCGTCCTCTCTTGGTTTTAGTTAAAGCCATATCATCCATTTTTATTCTATTGGCAGATGTGAGGGAGCCATTACATGTTTAAGATAGCCCTCCTTTTACAGATTTGAAGAGATTTAATGTAATTTGTTCTTCAGATACTTCCCTGAATCTAATCCACTGGGTGAGGAGGTTTCAGGTCAGGCTTTTTTAAAAAGAGCACACACACACTCTCGCTCTCTCGCTCACACACACACACCTCTTAAGATTTCTGGCAAAGATCCAACAAAGAAGAGGCAGATTTAAGTCAAAAATCTCTTCTTAAGCACTCGGCTGTTGTTAAAATCTGTAACAGCAGGATTGTAACCATTAAAAAAACTATATATCAAACAACCACGCTGATACAGAATCCCTCTGTGTGGTTTGTCAGCAGCTGCATCTCATCACACACAAAGGGGTTCCCGTAAAAAAGCCAACAACATGACGTGGATACAGGTTCTTTGTGTAAAAGGCAATGGCTTGTCTCCTGGGCAAACGACACCTTTTATACAACAGTGGGAATGGTAAACATTTGCACTGTAAAAGCCTGAGAGTTTAACCCTTCCTCCTTCCCCCTTCTACTAGCTTCCTTTTGTACTCAGCACTTATCAGCACAAGAAAACAGAACAATAAGAAAAAAAGCACACACACAAAAATACAAGGCTCCTCTCCCCTCAGCTGGTATGCGTGTGTTTGATGTCCTTTGGCAATTGCAGTCTCTCGACTTGTTTTCTGCTTTAGCTGGCAGGAGAGGCGTACTGTACAACACAGAGACTCCCAGAAGACATCTCAGCAGCAGGGTGTTTAGTGAACAAGCCTATTTGTTTTCTGACAATTCCCCTCCACCCGCCCAATAGGACTAGGAGATAGTGTCCACTTTTTGTCAATTAAGACAGACGAGCTCAAAGAGAAACCGCTGCTGTCACATGACTGTAACCACTGCAGTTCTCAGATTATACAAGCCTCCGCTTTTCTGTTTCTGCCTTCTTATACTCGAGGCGCATAGGGGAAAGCAAGCAGGGGAACATAGAGTTAGAGTTAGACAGTATAAATCAGAAGATTCGATTTAGAGCAGTGTTATTATTGAGTTACCAGCTGTTGGGCCCAAGTCCAGTCGTCAGTCCTCATTACCATAAAACGCACAGAAAATGAGCATAACTGACTTAAAACATGGCTAAACTTGGGATAACAGAGTCTGTGACTTGACCTGCATTCAGGCCTGCTATGATATAAACACTAAATATATATTTCACTGCCTTCTAACTCTGGTGCAGACTCAGGAGGGTGTTTATGTTTCACTACTTCATCAGAGTAATGCACAAATTCATGCTGCTATTGATACGTAACGCTATCAGCAATCTAAGTAGGCTAATTTAAGCATTATTGGGAGTGCCCAAACCAGATTTAAGAGTAAGATTCTGGTTGTTACTGTTGTTAACATGACAGCTCGTGTCCACTCCTTCATCTGATATACTGTAACCACAGACTGTATAACGTCACCCTATTGAAACAATGAGTCATTTTTGACGAAAATGAGTTTTTGGCCTAAATCATCTCTAAATCAGCTCAAGAGATTATTTCGGCCAAAAACTCAATGTCCCCAAAAATGACTTATGCCATTATTTCAATAGGGTGACGATACAGAATGGACGCCGTCTGCCTCCTTGCTAGGTGAAGCCACCACGGGAACAGCACCCTCTGGTGACAGGCTGCAGTATAGGTCATAAATCCCGCCTCCTCCAGCAATCCCTATGGGGTTGTGGACAAACTTTAGAAATTAATTACCCAGGATATAAATTTTTCTCCCCCCTGCTTGCGATGTTGACATGTAGTTACTGTACAAAGTTGTCCATAGTACCTACAGTCTATGGTTGTAACGCAATCAGAGCTTGAGTCCGGGTCTAAATCAGATTTAAGTCATCTGTGCTGTACTGACAATCGAGTCACATGCACCACAAAGCAGCACTTAAGTTTGACTCCAGGACTTGACTATTGAGACACATCTGTAGAGACAGACCAAAGCGAGCCACACTGAACCTCCTCATCTCCGCACGCCTGTTTAACCATCAAAATGGAAGTGGGGGGAATATTTAATTCACTGTTTTGTAACATTTCTGCATGTGTCCGAATCGTCAGCTCATTTAATAAGCAGCTTCTCATTACTCTCATGAGTGACCACTTCCTCCTTCTGTTCGGAGGAAGTGTTTCAAAAGGAGCCATTTCGTTGGGTTTAAAGGGAGGAAAACTGCAGGCCAAGATGAAGAGAAAAGCCAATAACAAACCACCTAATTGTAATTCCAAACAGATCCTTTTGTTATCATCTATTCGTTCTGGTCAAAAGAATGGACAGCACTGTGAAATAGCCTCTTGTTTTCTGTTTACTGCCAATGTGTTGCTGCATTACACATTCAGCAGACGAGCCTCCATTTTGCTGAAACAGATACAATCATTGGTGGTGTTAATGAAAAAAGCACCGCCTCAGAGTGCCTCCACCCCCACCCCCACTTGTAATATTCTTCATGTACATCATCTCTAATTGTCTCCAATAATGAGATGCCGCCACTAGAAGACCTGTCAGCGTGCATTTTTTTATTATTTAAAGGCGTATTATTTTTTTTTTCCCCGACCGCTTGCAAGGTAATTTCAGCTGGCAACCAACAGTCAGCAAATTCACTTTTCATTGTTCATTACAGTCTGTTGCTGCCGAGGGGACATGCAGTTGATTCTAACGGTCACCATACCTCCTGACCCCCATAAACGTCTCAGCTAATTCATTACAGTACGCGGGCGAGCGGCCATGAAGCCATATCGTATGACTCCATTCTGGATTAACATAAAGAGCAGGTTGCCTAATGTTATTATCTTCCAGTCGAACAACATCAACGGGCAGATTGCTCCACGTGAAGCATCTGGTTAGTCAAATCTGCCAACTCCAGAGCCTACACATGTCTGTTCCTGCTTCTTCAGCCGCACCCACACACTTCACAGTGTGCTGATAAAAATAGATGAATTATTTATTTTAAAAAACACACACACACACATATAATCTTCAGTCCTCTATGCATTTTTATAGTGTGGGATTCCTTTTCGTTATCTTTTCCCTCATTAAAATTTCTCGTCTGTGCAAGCTGAGGAGGAAAAAAGGAAGCAGGGAGGACGCTGATAGAAGTACTGGGGCAGCGTTGGGAGAAATAGAGTGAAATTTACAAAGCGAGAAAAAAACAAATTGGTCACAAAGTTCCTAAAATGTCCACTTTGGATACCTTGAGTGATCTCTAAAAGTGCTGTTCACAAGAGTGTGCTTTTTCAAAAGGACTGTCCAGTGTTTTCCTCCACACTCCAAATGAAATTGCTAATGTGAGTCATCCTTAAAAATGTCTGCAATTTCCACACGGTTTGCCTCTGGTGCTCTGCTGAGCTCTAGCACCTGTGCATGCGGCGCTTCCTCTGAGCTTGGTAAACACCCTTAGGTGCATACGGTGTCATCCCAGCCTGCTCCAGACAACTCTCTCCTGCTTCTTCCCCACTTTCTCCTTCTCTCGCTGACCCACTCTCTCCCTTTTTGCTCTGACTGACTGGCAGCAGTTAAGAATGAACACGACCCTTTACGCTGACTTCTGCCAACCAAGTGGATGTCTTTTTAAACGGTGAGTCAGGAATGAAACATCAACATTAATTCCCCGCTAAATGATCCCGTTGAATAATGGATGAGGGCATGTGGAGATATGTAGATTTCCACCTTCTACCTTTGTGAGCCTAATTGCTGCCATTCAGGCACATCTGAAGTCGGGCGCACTTCAAGAGCAGACATGGCTACTATCAGTCAATAATGTTGCCTAAGCCAGTATCAAAGAGGAGCCTTAGCTGTCAGAGATCTTGCACATTAGCTGCTCTTGTGAGACTTCAAAGACAAAAAAAACTGTGCTGTTATTCATACTTGCACATCTGAAGCTGGTAATGCACCTTAAAAGATGCTCCTGTGGCAGACAAACAGACCCATTCAAACGCAGGCCGGGCTTATCTCGAAAATGGCAAAACACTCTCCAAAGGACGCAGCAATCCTCTGAACACACACGGCGCACACACGCTCAGGTTTTCTTACCTTGGTCTGGCAGCTGGCAAACATTAGGGGGCACGGTCATGTTCAGCACATCATTGACAGCCGTGTCAACATAGTGTCCTCTCTGGACGTCGTGTTCACTGTCGGTCTGGTCACTCTCCTCATGCCCGCTGTCCTTCAGACTGTTCCCCTCCAGGTCCTTGAATGTCGATGTGCTACATGGGGGCCAGGAGGTGGGAGAGGGAAATGTTGATTAACTGTCACATCACCTTTTCTCGTATGCAATCTTTTTTTGTTTTGTTTTTAAAGTCACGAGCTCTCCGTTTGTCTCTCTACTGTCCTGTGAATTTGTCGCTGTTTTGCATCGAGCATTTCTACAAATAAAAATCAGAGGGAGACCGTTTTTCCTTGTTGATGCGAGTCTTACTTCAATGCGCCACTTTTGCAGAGAACAAAGCCGTCCTGGAGCTTCTACGCTAACAGTAATCAGGAAGTTTAAGCGAGCCCTTTTTTGGATTAAGAGTACATCTCTTTACTTCACAGATAGCAAAGCAGCTACGGGCTGTCTCAGGCGGGGGACATTCTTGGATGGATGCATTGACTTCAAGGACATCGCACTGAACAAACAGGAGGCACTCACTCACTCACTACAATCAAACAAATACAGCAGTAATCAGGAATTCCTGGAAGGAAGATGGATGTAGGAAACGCTGGAAGCATACAAACTGAGCATCTGTCTTGTTTGGGGCTCACAGTCAATAAAGAGGGTGGATATGGGGGAGAAGGAGGGGGCTACAATCAACAGCTGCACACTAACAGCGTGATTTCCCTTCATTTGATTTCCATCCCACTGGAACAAATTCTGCTTTACAAACAACACTAAATAGGGGTGAATATATGAACATGTGTTCCTGCAGGAAGAGGAAAAAGTATAGGAATGAGTTCCTTTAAGGGGAGCAGAGGGGTTAGAAAGGAGAGAAAATGAGAGTAAACAATCATGGGCAAACAAAAAGGAAGGTAGAGGAAGTGAAGGACAGTACAAGGTAGCTGCATTCCCCAGCCAAAGCCCCACATTCAGCAGCCTGGGAGAGAGGACTGCAGGTAATGCTGGCTCTCTGATGTTATCACTGTAATTGCACCTGTCCCAGACCATAGGCTCCCCGGCTCCTGAGGGGATTTCTTTGTAGTGTGCTGCAGAAGGCACCCCACACTTGAATGCTCTTTGTTTACATTAATGCAGGGGAATCTTTTGGGGGGGAAATTGCCATAATGGGTTTTGAAAGGAGCTAGCATGGCCTCAAACAAAAGAGAAAGGCTGGAATGATCCATGGCTGTAGGTAAAAAGGGGATTATTGTAGTTTCTTCCAAGTGAGCCATGGTGAAGAAAACCTCAATGGCTGGAGGCAATTATAATTTGACCCCCCTGCAAACCCTGCATTCCCACAACCCTATCTGATATCCTGGTTCAGGTGGGCTGAAAAATAAAGAACAAGGAAAACATTTACCCCTCTCTTCCTACGCCAAGAAAAAGCCAAATGATTAGGGATTCTTTGAACTGCAGTCTTGGGAAACGGAGCCAAATTCCCTTTCTAGTTCTCTAAAATACCAACCATTCATTGAGTATTTGTTTTAACCTGATCAAGCCACAAATCTGCTAATAAACCCAGTTACAGAAAAATAATAAGGTTATCTTTAAATGTGCAAAAACACCACTGGCTCGTGCTTTCTGCGGCTCCGTGTACTCTTATAATCTGAGAGTATGAGTTTGTGCCTCGTTTCAACAATTCTACGTTTAGTCCACTAAACGCATTATGGAGGAATTCCATTCATCCCCCCAAATCTTATCCTCCCATTGCAATTACACTGAATGAGGGAACATGCAGGAACAAATGCAGCGGTGGTATAGCTGTGCGCTCATTAGATAAAACAATTACAGATAACAATGGTAACGAGGTGCTAGTAACAATTCCTAATCAACACATACCTTTTAATGAGGTGGGCTCTGCTGTTCACATAACTGGAGTCAATGGAGTAATTCTCCGTCTGTAAGAAAGGGGAGGAGGTGGGAGGGGGGTGGGGTTGTGGTTGAAGGATGATGGGGGGGCAAACAGAGAGAGAAAGGTACTTTTAACAATGAGTGCAACCAAAATAATGTTAGCTCGTAATTGGCTTTCAGTGGAAATGTTATTTTACACAAAGGCCCCGGTGAGCAGCCCGGGCTTTCAAAGGCCTGAATCCTATTCTCTTTCAAAGCACACACACAGAGAGGATGACTGGGAGTTGAGAGAGTGCACTGCAGTGAGCGCACGCAGCCTCTCCTCTCCTCTTCACCCGCTTCCCTCGCTCCCTTCCCCTCTGCTGCCGGTCAGTCTTTAAAATGGAGTCATTAGGGCGGACAGACGATCATGCAAACAGAGGGAGAGGAAAAGTTTTCCTTTATTCTCCCCTGAACTCTTCACTTTCTACCACGTTTGAGGAGACATTAATGTGGGAAGATATTAAATAAATAACTGCAAGAAAAAGTAGAAGAAATTAGGAGTGTACCGAGGGATTCTTAACTCTGCAATTGTAGATGAAAAGGCTTTCAGAATATGCATACGATAGATCTCTGACCCACATTAGTGAACACAGTTCAAAGGCATCCTACATTCATTTTTTTCCCCCAACGTTTATTTAGCAGGGAGAAGAGTAAGAGCACATGGACAGAGGAGTAAGAGTACACAGAACAGGATGCTCCCCTCCTGCGCCTGCAAAACATCTCCCCACGCTGGGTAAGATGTCAAAGGGTATCAAAGCCTCTCAAAGGACTTCTTCCAGTCCTGCGAAAAGCTAAGATATGACTCTTTCGACACAGTTTGATAAGATGCAGGTGTTCGCTGCAAAATGAAAGCAGAGGCTTCACTTAAAATTCCCCCAACATAGATACAGTATCTCAATAGAAGCTACGTGTCAATGGCCGACTTCCGAGGGGGAGTCTACATTACGAATATCAAAGCCCTGTTGAAAAAGAGTCACCCTCATGATAAGAAAGGTTAATACAGGAGCATGAACACTGATTAGGCAGAGAGCTACACATATGACTCAGGCCTGCTGATGAGGAAGCAGCAGCTGTCACTCAATAGATTCAGCTAAAAAAAAACACCCTCCCCACTCCCCTCATTGGATCCTAATGGGGTTGAACATTTCGAACTTTTTCAGCATCTCCGCAAAACAGCTATGCCGCAGAGCTCAAGCGGCGAGGGTGGGGGCAGCAGAGGAAATGTCAAACTTCATAACCCAAGTCATCTCTGGATGTCTTTTGAAATAAAGAAATACACGCATGAATAAATAAAAGGGATGCAGTCAGATCATAGAAGGCGGTGTGTGGTGTTTACCTCTGGCAAATAGCTCCTGTGACCTATGAAATATTTAAGAGCGTGTTAATGCAACCAAAAAACACGCTCTTGTTTGTTTTTCGTTTTTTTATATCTCTACACATTCATGTCTGACTGATTTTCTCTTGAACTTCCTCAAACTTTGAGGAACTCGTGTGCGTCAGAGCTGAAGTTATCCTCCGGTATTCAGAAAGTGCAAAGGTCTGCCTTCAATAATTAGCAGATAAGCGTTTGTTTGCCATCCCACCACCTTTACTTCTAATTATTTCTGCAGGAAAATTGTACAATGATTAGCAACTAAACAAGGGCAAGCTTCTGACTGGGATCACTAAATTATGATGCAATGTGTTTGCGCTGAAGGTTAGCATCATTGCGCCTTCTTTTTTACCATTTAGCCCTAATTAAACTTCACTCATTATTATACAGAAGATAATTTATAAAAGGAATTTCATTAACATTTTATTATTAGCCTTCAATTTGGGGCGCGCCACATTTGTTCTGTTGTTATTTCCCCCCGACTTCTCTTCTCCTGTTCAGTTTGACTCCATTAAATATCAAAGGTAATGTCTGTGGCAACATACTGCAACACTGATTAATCTTTAATTACAGATTAACACATATCATGGTGTTAATTTATAAATTATGCCACATCTTTTAAAGGTTTAGGAGACAAATTCCTCCCTGAAAGACAGAAATACTGATCCTGTATGCCTCCGTTCACCTTAGCTCCACTATGGTCCCCAAATAAACCTGCCTCATCTTCTACAGTGGCTGCGCATCCAGAGAGAGAGACTAATGAAAATGCAAGGCATGAGTAACAAGGGGAAAACTTCATTTAAGAGACAAGATAGAAAATTTCTTGAGAATGTCACTCCGGCTGCAGCCTGTAATTGGTTTGGATGGCAGGTTTCTGTGTGAGCATGGCCTGGAGAGGGGAAGACGGGAGGCGGTGTGTGCCCCTGCTCTCAGGCTGTTCTAGTCCAGAAATGGAACCGCACTTTCCATAATGCAATTCTCTCTCTGGGTTTTTACATGGAGACTTCTGAAATGTGCGGTATTCTTCATAGTGCTCGACCATTACATTCTTTTGCCTCTCCGTTTCTTCCTCTTCAGCGACTCGTTCATCAAAGGATTCAGCGGAGATAACCTTGTTTCCTCTATTTATCAAACTGTCAGAAGAAATAAACAAACACCCAACATGTGAGGGCATAACCTTGAGCATTGATGAGTCACTCATGAGCGTCTATTCTCAAGGAAGAATTGGAAGCATTAGCCCAGGCTTCCTGTAAAGAAATGTAATGTCTGCCCCCCACATTTTCTCACTGACCTCAAATTGGAGGACATGTCAATACATCTCCCTGCGAGGTCAAGTTTCAGGCGAGAGGCTGAGGACTGCTTAACTACAGCGAAGACGCCACAAATGGCTCCTTAATCAGGTTGGACAATGTGTTGTTGTGATCCGAGCGGCCCCGGTTTGGCGGCCAGAGCCACTCTATCCCCGTAATTATTGTTCCGTTTCATCCTAAGGACTGCAGGGAGGGAAAGCAGTCCCTGGTGTCACCGGGTGACGGATAGGTAGTGTCAGGATGAGTGCGGAGGGAAGTGGGAAAGAGAGTGGAGGGCGAAGATGGAAAGGAAATGGGTGAGACTTGACCTGCGGGAGGCTCGCTGACTTGACCGGCTGCTGCAGCCCAGTGGCTTTCCCCCTTTTCACCCCTTCCCACTTCCCTCTCTTTCCAGTGAAAAAAACCCTGAAGCCCAGGGACGACGGGCCTCGCCTCTCTGCCACTGAGAGGAAAAGCAATCTCCTCGCCTAGTTGCTGCCGTAAGATTTGATTTGCCTTCCTCCCAGCGTGACAATTGGTTCTGTAGTCGGGATGCAAGTGTATTCATTGTGTGGGGGCACAGGGAGCAGCAGAGAAAAGAGGAGGGGGAGGTGGTGAGGAAGGGGGAGCGAAGACGCCAGTTGTTACACCAGTAAACACCCGACAAGTTCAGCAGATGTCACACAGATAGGAGAGAAAAAGAGAGAAAAAAGTGTCACACAGCTGCAGCACTGTATGCATTACACTGGCTAATAAAGCAACAATACAACATTTAAACAAGGAGTCAAGCTGCAACATATTCACTGGTGCAGCAGCATGTACAATTTTTTGTCATCTTTTAAAAGACGGCTGCAAACAATGGACACATCTGCAATTTGTTCTATTTATAGACAAAGTTTTCTTTTAGATTTTACATTGCAGATTTCAAAAAGGAAGATTACACTTAAACTGAACACAAAGGCATCTTAACATTTGAGACGAACTACGTCTTAAAGTGAAGCTGAATCTCCTATAGAACCCACGGCATTTCAGCAAAGACGGATGGTTATCTGCTCAAATACGTGTGTTTCATGTCTGTTATCATCAACAAACGGCTTAATGCCACGAGTTTACCAGATAAATAACATCCAGCTGTGCTGAAAATGCTCTAACTGCCACGTTTCAATGCACAGTTTGAACAACAGGACAACAGATGAGACAGAATCAATTAAAACTGTCAGATCCTATTTTTGCAGCCCGGCTCTGCATTTGTGCAGATGTGAGGTTGTGCCTCAGCCTCTTTTTTCTTTTCTTGTTGCCGCGGCTCACTCGTGGACTCCCCTCGGTCCCGGAAGGAAATGTTACACACAATGTGCCTTGTTATTGATATCCCACTGTTAAAGGAAGCCACGAGGAGAAAGAGATACAGGGGGTTTACAGGGTGAGCCAGCTGCAATTAGGAAATAAAAAGACTTCATTATCGGTCTTGGTTTGGATGTGTTGGAGTTAAGCTAAAAAACGGGGGTAAAAAAAAATGTGCAGTGAGGAAAAGCCTGTATTCCCTTTGTGATTCTGCAGAGAGAGAGAGAGAGGAGTGTGTGAGTGTTTGCGCCTTTGTCATCCTATCCACTGTGACTATGAAAAGGAATGCTCACTCGGAGCATCTTGCACATTCTTGCACACACAGACTCTCTCTTCCAGCTTCTCCTACAAAAGCACTCCTCCAACAATAAGTGACTCGCAGGGGCTGAGCTGGCGTGCTCCCATCATGCCTCAGGGGTCGGGCACCCAGCAGCACCTCTAAGCAGCTCACAATCAGTCTGTGTGACACCCCGTGACAAAGACTTAGACCACCGAGGCCAGTTCTCCAAGTGGGTGTATATTTTGTCTGGAAAGGGAAAACGCTCTTTGGCCTCTTTTCTGCCACACTCCTCCAACTTCACCTCCAACCTCTGCCCCCTACGACCATCATCAGCACCGTCTTACACATTATAGAATCTCCCATAGCTGCTCTGCCATCTGCTAGATTATAGATTTCCTTCTTCCTTTAGAGAGGCCAGAGCCCCACAGGGAGGATCAGCGGTAAAAAGGGTGAAAGAGTGCCTGAGGCGCAGCCATGGCTGAGGATGAGATTACATTTTCTATTTCTGCCCGCTAAAGGGGGCCTGCCGTGATGAATACAGAGAGTTGTTACCATTTAATATCAAACTGCTTGCCTTCATACTCAAATTATACACAATCAGTTGTGACAGAAGGGTACACATGTGACAAATAACCTGCCACATTCTCTGCATCATTTCACTTCATCACCCATCAATTCACCCCAAACCTAGCAGCCCATTTGGGAATCAATCATGTTGTGAAAGTGAGCGGTTCTGCAGAGAAAAGGGTTTTAAAAGCTTCCTTAGCGCCACTGTTTCTGCAGTCTTGAGAGCGAGCGGAGGAAAAAAACAAACAATCTAGCTGAATTAAATGCTATTATGAGGTTGCTTATGCCCTCGACCACATGTGTTAAGTGTATTGTTTGAGCAAACCAAATAACAGCCTCTCTGGAAACACAATGAAACAGGCACGTAAACACAACAGCACTTCCTGCTGGCATTTCCTCCTCACTTTTCTTTGCCTTTCTGTGCAAAATAGAACAAATATTTGCTCATTTTGACCGAAACAATCAGCTTCCCGCTCTTGACAAGTGAAAGAAAAGGGCCAAAGGCTACGGCTCTCTCCACCTGTGAACCCCCCCCCCCTCTGCGGAGGAAATTGCAGACCACGCGGCTGTCCTCTGTTCTGAAAACAGAGACGATCCTCCAGACCAGTCTCCATGTCACTCAGGCCTACAGGCTCCACACAAGTCCAGTTAGTAGAGATGTGATTAATTATACATACATTGATAGAAACAACATTCATTATTCATGAGCTTCTCAACGTCAAAGCTATTTCCCTCCCTTTCAGCATGATGAAAAGATTTTAAATAATAGGCCCCCTCTGCAGACGTCTGCATTCCAGCGGAGTCGGCTGACGCTAAAGAGGCTTAAGTCAGAGCTGTTGTCTTACCAGTGAATCACAGCTCTGCAACGACATGTTTCAAACTGTTGGTGGCTGTGCGGGTCGCTGTTTTTGTTTTGTCTTTGTCTTAAGAGACGGGGCTGGTGCTTTTTAAGCCTTTCAGATGGAGTTATAGTGTCCACGTAGCATTAAAGAGGCCTGCAGCGTCACCAGGCGCACGAGGCCGGATTGAGTTTCAGTGAACACCTGTTCAGCGCTCAGGTTTACCTCTTGTGTTTTGTAAGCTTATGCTATCTCAAAGTCAGAGAGAAAACCTGAGTATCTCTATGAGATTACAACTCATGGTTTTACATAGTAAAAAGGGAGGCGGGAGGAAGAAAGACTTTACTATCTGCGCTGTTTCCTAAGAGAAATCGGCTTACTTCTCTTAAAGCCTGCAGAGCCTAATCAAACTCAAATAGCAGGAACTTCCCCTTTAGGCAAGTCTTGAGGGATTTTCTTTAATTTGGATGTCAGATGGAAAAGTTTTCACACTCCTCTCATCCCAAAATCCGTTAATGTGTGTATGCTGCCACATGAGAGAGGTAGGTAAGTAGGTGGGGATCCTTTTTTTTTCCAGCAGACTCCGGAAATGTTGAGGGTAACGTCTAATCCAGGTAGACTGGGAAGTTTCCGGGGCCCTCTGGGAGCAGGTACCACCACAAACATGTGTTTTTAAACAGCCATTTAATTTCTGCGAGAGAATTACTAGATAGTATTTTATCTTCTTGGTTGTGCCCTATATTAGCCGGTGTTGAGGGGGAGGGGATTCCCAAAGGGTTCTCCCGCCTCCCCTGGGCTGTGTCTTAAAAATAAACACTCAGAAACAGTACAGATTATGTAAACACGTCCCTTTAAACGCTTGCAGTGGCTGTACAAACTGCATAACTTTGAGCCACTGCTAAAATTCGTAATTAAACTTTGATTGAATCAGCACAAGAGTGAGGCAGAGAGGAGGGATCCGTGCATTTGCAAGAAGTGCTGATCATCTTGTACTTTACATCTCCTCTTGGCGGTTTCACTTTGGCTGCAAGTCACATCGGTGCAGCTGTAGTCTCCCTGTCTGTCTTCCAGTCTCTCTCCCTCTCTTTTTTTTTTCTCTCTCGCTCCCTGTGACAAGGCATCTTTCCAGACATTTTAGTTGGATGGAGATTTGCAGCAGCTCATTACAGACTGGGAGGCTCTGTGAGCGGATGCAGTCACTCGGAGATGGATTGAGTGGGTCTGTTTATTGACATGCCTTAATCTGACACTGGGTAAAGGGAATGAGTCACCGCCTCCAGACACACTACCACCACATCACAGCCACTCCGGCAAATAGGGAGGCAGCACCCGGGATACGAGTGGAACTTCATCAGCGCTCATTAATCCAACCACCCCAGGCCACTCGCTCAAACAAACCGTGTTTACACTGCTGGATGGAGGGGTGATGGAGCTTTTCAAAGGGCATGTGTGCAGGTGCCTAGATCTGCAACACGCACACTAATGCGCTTACTGTCCCTGCGCACGCACGCACACACACACAAACATGAACTCCACACTGTACTCCGAACCCCACCCGCCTCTAAACGTAATATCTGTGTGCACCAGCTGCTAAAACTCAGTCGATGTACTTTGTCTCACAAATCAGGCCTGCCGCTGCTCAAATCAGGGGTGGACTGAGCTCGGGCACAGTGCCAGAGCGCGTATCATAGAAAAGGGCTTTTTATTAAACAGATGGGCTCTGGAGATCTTTTTTTTTGCTTGCGTCACAACAAGGCTACCCCTATCTAGCTATATGGACGCCTAGTTAGCTTTTTGATCCTGTTTGCTTGAATGCGAGGCACATCTGGTGCTAATATTTAGGGCGGGCTTTGCAGGCAGCTGTCAGTTCGAGATTGACAGCAGAGTATTAGCTGCTCGCACATCATCGCCACATCTGTAAATCCGGCTTGTTAGCAGGACTGAAGCTCGGAGGCATCATGGTGCAGGCAGGCAGGAAAACAACATCCGACTGTACGCGGCCCGACGCCTCTCTAAAATGCTGTTACTCCATTGTCTATGAGATGTGAACATGTGAATCCTATATATTTTACACTGAACTGTAAATTTACCAAAAAATATAGACCTCGGCTAAAACAAGAAAAATGTGTGAAATGCGTAAGCCGGTCGCAAACAGAAGTAAAGCTTCCTCCGAGAAATGCACACATGCAGACACACAGGCGCAAAGACAAAACAAGCAGAGAGGGAATCAACACCGCTTGAGTCAGAGAGGGAGTAACAATACAAATTTACAGTCGAGCACACGTGTTCTCACACAAGCACACACGTACAGTCACAGTGGGCGCCGTCTGTCGTCTCCATCAGGAGCTAGGAGCCTGGCAGCTTGAGAGCAGGGTTAGTGTAGAAGGGGGCCAGATGCGGTGGGCTTGACCCACTCGTTTGTGAGTTGGAGGGGGGGCGGGGGGCTCGGCAGCTGAAACACACAGGGATTAGCCGCACTGACTTCATTTAATTTAATTTGTATTAGGCTGTCTTTGGGGGCAAACATCGCTTTTCACTGCGGGGGGAAATATTCAGGGTCAGGGAAAACAGCAACAGACGGTGGATCTCTGCCTGGATCCACGGGCAGACTCACAAGAAGACCTCCGATTCACAAACACACACACACACACTAGCATCTCCCCTCCCTGTAATTATGTCTATATTATGAAGTCAAATTTCTCCCTATTGAAATGCCTCTCAGACCCTGAATCCACCTTTTCCACAGCTTGATTTCTTGAAATGAATACCTTGAATCCTTTTGTTCTGCCACCATAAACAACATGTAGTAATTTTCTGTGCTTATCAAAGCCCCGCTCAGTGTGTCAGTGTTTGTGTGTTTGTGTGTGCTGTTAACACACACACAAACACTAAGCTGTTATCTACCGAGAACATATCTTAGGGGTGGATGTTTATCTGTGCTGATGCAGATTGGAGTTCTCTTTGTCTCAGTGCAGTGGTACATAATATTATTTGTCTTTTAGTTGTTTTTTTTTTTCACACATTTATTTCTCCTAGGCTGATACGGTTTGATATTCTATAGTGGAGAAATCCTTTTAGTTACTGCCAGGCATCTAATGTGCTTTTACTTGTAATCTGGGAATTTAATAAATGAAAAGGAGAGGGAGAAAAAAATCTGTACACAATCGAATAATTCAACTCCCCGTTGTATCCCTTGGAACATGACTTATGCTGTTAAGCAGAGGAGGAAAACAACTGCAGTGAGTGAGTGAGTGAGAGAGAGCCCAACATGCCTCCTCACAATGTGCAGCAGTGCTGTGAAAAAATATGTCAGCCATCATCCATGAAGTCTACACTAGCTAAAGCCTGAGGTCATACGAAACCTTCCTTTTCTGGCACTTTTCTGCAGGTGACATACTCTGCAAGAAATCTAATGTAGCATGTCACGGGAAAAAAAGTCCTTTTTTTCTTTTTTCTTACAAAAACATCTGAAAAATAAAGAAATAATGTGAGTGAGAGGCAGAAGCGTCGCTTTGTCTTCTCTGCTCGACTAAAAAGACTATACTTCTGCAGCATGCTATCAGCCACTCACCAGAAATCTTACTCCCTCCCTCACTCCCCCGGCCCCTATCAAAAGATGTTACTGTGCAAAATGTCAAAGAAAAAAAGAGGCAAGAGAAGTAATCTCTTTCTCCTTTTTGATCGCAAGTGGAATAATTGGAACCCTCTTAGGCTCATTACATGAGTTGCCCGCCAGCCAAAAGACGACTCCAACTGCCCCTCTTTATTCATGTCGGAGCTTTGAAAAATACGGGCTCCTCTGGTAACAATTCTTTATGAGATGCAATGACTAGAGGTCTTGGTACCTACACACCGACAGTAATCCTGCTATGCCTTTGAAAATATATCTTTCAACTAGCACTGTCAAACATCTATCAAGAGCAATGGGAAGGAAACAGCAACAATCTGGCTTGATAATACTGTCATTATGCATATTTCACAGCACTTCTAACCCCCTCCTGCTCCTTTACGAATAAAAAATTTATGGCAATGACGTTTTCTTCAATTACGTAAGGTTGCACATACAGCCAGTTCATTAAGATCTCCATTACTAATAACCTAGTCCTCATTGTTATTACAACTATGCTTGTAATTATTGTGACTCTAATTACTATTACTGTATTACCCAAATTAACCTTATTCTGGGTTTAGATCACCCCCATTGATGGTAGCCCAGACATGCCTATGAAGAATGGCACCAATGTCCCTTCAGATAAATCCAGTATAATTAGCTATGTGCCTTACAGGGCCTGTGTGATGGTAATAATTAGAGCTACTGTAGCAAAGGTCATGCAAAACAATTTAGAGAGGATGCGTGCTGCATGGGTAATATGGGAGCGAGGGGGAGAGCCGGGATGAACGGAGAGACTCGTCTGCTTTTTCCATCTTTCAGAGATAGAAGACATATGCTTGTTACTTTACCTCTGCACTTGGTTCATTTTTAACCAATGCTCTCAAAATAATAGGAACTGAAAACCCATTTTGATGGCAAGTAGACTCCCAGCTAACGTAGTTTAAATGGATCTGTGATTAGATTTGAGGAAAGTGCTACAGGGTGTAGCTGTGAACTGGTATCAGCTGAAATCGATTCGCTGCCTTCGAGGTGTGATAGCCGCCCCGTCGCTGCATCTGTTCATTAGCCTGAGCAGTAATGTGTTTATGCTAACCCTTGGTTATCATTATTAATTGTGAGACAGAGAGAGAGAGAGAGAAAGACAGGGAGGGGTGTTGCTTCACTCATGCACACAGGTTAATGAGCTAAGTCAAAAACGACACAGAGGTAAACAAGTGCTCACAATAAGCTACTTCTATTTCTGGGCTCCCTCCTGTGTAACTCCCAGAGTGCTCCTGGGATGGGAGTGCAGGGTTCACAGCATCTCTCCACCTGGAATTCACTGAGCTCCCTCACCTCTTCGCCATGATCTCACCCTGAAGAGATGAAGAGCAGCCCCACTTTCAAATATAGCATCTCAAACAACACATACGCCAGTGTGTGCCAGATTGGTCTTTATTCCCTGTTGCACAGCTCCTTCTAACTCCCAACAGCACTTCATTAGCAGTGACTCACACAAACAGCCCAAATTGGAGGGATAAACTTTTCTCTTGTTACATCGTCTGTGTTTTTTTTTTGTTTTAAACCAAACAATGTGTTAGCTGAGTACTGAAGAGGACAATTATATTTTGCTGATGTGCTACATGATGACCTTTGCTTGACCTCTGTTTTGCATGTATCTTATTTTACTGTAAAAATTGCAGCATGCTGTCGGTCTCTTCATCTGCCTCCAACCCATGCATGTGTAGAAATTTGTCCGTCTTAATACTTTTAAGCTTGTTTGTTTTTGTACGGTTATAAAGAAGTCGTCCAATCAATTGTTGTCTTAAAAAATCAGCTGAAGACTCTCCATGAAAGCTTTAAAAACCCTACAAGTCCATGATGACCATCAAGAGATGTAATACTTAATACTTTTCCTTTTTTAGTCTAAAAGTCTGATTATTTGTTGCTGTAAAGCCCATACTTTGTCACCTGTAAGTGCAGCAAGGTCTCTGAGAAAATAAAAATAAGATGCAAATTGCATGGTTGGGTCCATGAGTCAGATGACTTTTGTGCTCAAAGCAGGGGCTGATTTGAGTCACCAGCCTCATGGTGAAGACAATATTTGATGAATGTCAAACTGTTCCTTTGAATAGATGAATAAAACAGATATGGTGCTATATTTGTACGGAACTTTAATGAATATGAGCTGATTAAAAGTCAGGGCTATTGGGGCTGAAAACAGAGAAAATACTTTTTTATTTACAAAATAAATGAAATTGAAATAATGCATAACACCAGTGGTCCGTGTATTAACCATCCATTCAATTATTCCATTCAATCTGAAAAATGAAAAATAAAAAAACTGAGTCAATATTTTGCTTATTTGTTTTTCTATATAACCAAAAAAGTGTTTGTTTTCATATTTTCAGTTCAAAATAGAATATATGATAGAGACGGAAATGAAAATAAAATAATAAATCTACTTTTCGTTTTCGGGTTATTGATGTCCCCGTTTCCCACGTTGCTTTTCTACTGTTAGCACATGCGCATTGCGCAACAAAGTAACCAACAACATGGACCAAAAACTCCAGGCCAGAGCGGTAGCGAAGGCTAATCTGCTGTCATGGAGATGGACGCATCCTACGTAGTATTCAAAGCCGCCATGAGGGTCACGCTGAAGGAGGAAGATATGACTGTAGAAAAAATTACAACCAAAGCTCTGTTACAACGTAAGATTATGGCGCTCAAACCGCTCTGTCGCATCTTTCGCCATGATAACTGTCGCTGAGGATCACGGGAAGGCCAGTGTAGCCGCCATGCACGTATGCTCAACACAGGTGCACTCAAAATCAATAACTGTAAATAGGATTTATTATTTTGTTTTTGTTTCCGTCTCTATTGTATATTCTGTTTTGAGCTGAAAATACGAAAACAAACTATTTTTTTATTTTTTGGTTACACAGAAAAACAAACAAAATATTGACTCGTTTTTTTCATACTTCGTTTACTAGATTAAATGGAATAACTGAATAAACGGATAATACATGGACCATGAGTGAAGTGCAAGATTTTTTTTTGTTATTTCTATGGTTGATTTCTGATATTCCCGCCATTCTTCATTCTGATTGTCACTTTTAAAACAAGACCAAACTCATCATTTCAGACAGTATAGAAATATGTGTTAAAGCAGGAAAAAGGGTTAAAGCAGCAATCACTGCACTCATAAAGCTCTGCTGGACATCTGATTTAGCTGCTTTATTTAGTTAGAGTGGAATAACTGATGAAAATGGCCGGGGTGGGAATGGGAGCATAAGCTATGATCCATATGCCTTAGTGACTGTGCGGCTTTAAAAACTGTAAATTGTGATTATCATTGATCGCAGCCGTCAGATGCCTAATCTCTTTGACTCATATCCACACAGGCTACACTGGATGATGACGAGGCGTCCTCCCCCCACATCTGAAGTCCCAAACAAGTGGTGAGGGAAGCGGTGATAAGCAGGTCCTTATCCTTTTAAAGACACTCCCGTAATCCAACAGTGGTGGGGGGATGGAGGGGCTTCAGCTTTAAGGGACTTAGTCTGGATTATCGCTAGTCCTCCAAATTAAACCAAAAGTCAGCTTTCTGCAGTTGCTCATGCAAGCTGGCGACTGGCTTGTTACCAGCTCTACTAACAAGGAAAATGATGGAGGTCTATAATTAGAAAATGCTCTCGTTCAGCCGGCGGGCCAACAAACGTGGATAATACTGTAGCAAAACTCAACCCATCCTCACCTCGACTAAATATTCTGCCTGTCTCCACTTTCACTTCCCCGCAGATGTCCTGTGTCTCCACTCAAAATGTCTTCCATGCTGTGTACCTGACTCTTGCTGCCAACCAGCTTAGCTACAGACAAGCTCCTCAGCCAGGGCAAGGCTGCTCTGTCCCCACTGATGCTGCTTCTCACCGTAAAACAAGGCCAAATCTGGGGCTTAGAGGCTGAAATAATCATTACTGGGTAGCGAACAAATGAAAAGTCAGAACACTACTCCCATGGATGTCCTCCCCCACAACCCTTGGTAGTTTGTCTGCTGTCCTATCCCACAAAAACAGAAAAGGGGGCTTTGAGACATAAACATATACCACAACAAATTACGAATGTGGTTTGGCATTTTTGCGTTTTTTCTCTTGTCCATTTCCTGATAAGCAAAATAAGCAAATATTGGCAATATGTTGTTATTGTGTACTGTTTACAAGGCTAGAGCCGAGGGGTGGTTAGCAACAGCATGGCCAAGCACAAAAAGTGAAAGTAGGGTAAAAATGGCATCCTCAAGTCTTCAAAAAAGTTTAGAAAGAGTGTATTCAAACTTTTACATTGTATAAGGTTATTCCTTATTATGAGTTACTAACAGTAAGTCCTCTAGTGGAGAAAATAATTAAAGAGTTTCTGACTTCAAACGAAGAACATGTTGCAGACAAAAACTAAATCAACATAAACAGGACCAGGATTGGCAAACCCATAAATATGCTGAGTCGTACTAGCTTCTAGCCGCTAGCTTCACAGCTCTGGTAACTATCACTCAAAGGATTTCAAACCAACAAACTGAAGTAGTTCATGACGCCTCCGTCTCCTACATCTACACAAGTCAAAAACACACCATTAACAGACACCATGGCGAATGACGATGACTCAGCCAAAAGAGAAGCTTCAGCCGGCTGTATCCTACGCCACCCGATTGGCATTTGAGGAATGAACTTACATGTTTACATTACTCTTAAACTACCAATAGGGGGCAGAATAAAGCCTAGACTTCACTTTGCACTATTAAAAGCACTTGTCTTAAGACAGAGCGCATTTGCGTTATAACAAAGGCAACCATAGAAATTCAAACGAGTCTCAGCTCCCAGGGTGCCAGTTTAGTCTTGCTGTTAAATCACAATGACTAAAAAGAAGAAGGGGCCAGAGTTTGATTCAGATCTACTCCCCCTTCCTAGTTTTTAACCCAGCCCAAGGTCTAAAGGTATCTCAAAATACTGCCCTGAATACCAGTATTCTTTAAAAGTTACACAAAAGAGCAAATATGGAAAAGTACGTCTTCTTCACTGTGGGTCTTTTTTGAGCTAAGCTAGGCTAATCACATCCCAGAGGAACCGATCATGAGCCCTTAACTCTTAAAAAGAAATTAGATGCTGAGATTGTTTCCCTGCATTGTATATTTTCTAATGTAGTGTGTATAAATATAACCACTGTTGGAAGAAAAGTTTCTCTATAATCCCACTTGAAACTGTTTTCATTAGCCTTTCTTTGTACACAGACATGATACTTGATGATTCATTCACAGTCCTCAAAGCACGCTTTGATGTGACATGCATTGAACAAGATAAGAGAACTCAAACCCGGCTCCAAAGTGACCTTACTGCTGTATCGTCCTCCTCATGTCACTGAAGCCCGACATTAAATGCAATCATCCCTTTAATAGGAATAGGTCGCTTCCCCACTAGAAGCCTATAAGACCGAACTGGGAACAGCTCTGAAATAAAAAACAGGTACAGTAAAGTAATCTCAAAGTAAGGAGGTTACTGGGGATAGAACGGCACTCTGAATAGTCTGACAGAGGCCAAGTGCTTTTCATTCACTGACTTGGCTGCCTATGCTGTGGTATGTCAAACAGTGGACGTGAGGGGAAAGTCAAAGCCGACGTCCCATTGTGCTCCACAGCCAGACACTGACTCAACCCTGAATATTGTTTTCTGATGCCATACGAGAGCACAAAGAGGCTGGGGAAGCCGTTATCAATTCCCTTGCAAGGCAATCATAACTATTATCATTAGTAGTGTTTTCATCCTCCGGGCTCAGCCCAGAGAACATATCTAATCTATTCCCTGGGGAACATTCTAGTCTTTCCAACTTGACCTGGTATCACTCGAGCAAAGAAATGGTTTCCCGCCTCCCTGGAAACCAGATATGGGTGTAAATAATAGGACCAAGCTCTTGTGGAAAAATAAAAAAAGAGTCCTAATCCCAGGAAAACAAACCTGAGTGAAACAGGCCCACCTGAATCGCTTTCAGAAGAACTAGATAATCAAAATGCAAAACAGCCTCTGATGGAAAAATGAGCCGACTTTTGACAACAAATCCCCTACACCTACCATCAGCACATTCTCCTTCTGAACTTTTATTTGTGCGCTGTGTTTGGGTTTTTAATGTAATCACACTGCACACAGCGCCCCATCAATGAGCCGCTCTGATTTATGTCAGCCTGAATCAGACTGACTGCTTAGAGCTTTGCAGACATCATGAATGAGAAAAGGTGCCACACATAGAACACATTAGGGGTCCCACCATCTCCTCAGACAGGGGGACAATGGGAAAGGAGAGTGTGGATAAAGGAGAGGGGTAACAGGGGTGAAAGACTGGTTCATGATGGAGAATAAAGGGGAGAATGGGAGAAAGAAAAGAAAGAGGCCCGAGACATTGGCCACACAGGGCAGGGGGAACGCAAGGGCTCCAAGAGGCCTACACTCGGTCATAGCCCATTAGGCTGGCTTGGTGAAAATGCTACAGCTCATTACATGCTCTGCCTCTGTTCTGCGGATGAACAATGCACAATTACGCTACCCTGCTGCTCCTCCAGCCATACTGCTGCATGCCTCTGAGGCGGCCGATATTGCTGCTATAGTGGCTTCCCTGCCAACAGACTCTGCGCTCATCAAACATCCCATACATGCGCTCCTTAATGCGCATCCAGGTTGATGTGTAGAAACAAAAGTGCGGTATGAATTTGCAGAAATGAAAGAAGGGGAGAAACAGGAAGGGCTGCTTTACTTGTTGAGCAAATAACACAAAGGTAGACAGCAGTAATTGTGTGTAACACAATGGCGTTTGCTCTGCTTTTGTCTGCTTCTTAAAAAGGTAGGGGAAACTCTGTTTTTACAGCTGTATTAACTTTCAGTCTTTGTTGCAATTACCTCTAAGCCATACACACAGCAAATATAAGGATAAGAAAAGATGAAGAGCATAAAGTGCAAGCACAAAGTCTTGTGACAGTATCTGCAATGCAGTGAATAACTTAACCAAGGCTTCATCTATCCACCAGCAAATTGGTTCCCTTCAAGTCCTCCTCCTCTTCCTACAATTATGCATGCAGAAGTTGACATTTAATCTGATGGGGGAAATGCTAACTAACATCCTCCTGCTCCCTCTTTGTTTTAGGCAAAAAACAGGACACTTGTAAAGGTCATTCTTCCCTGGTGTCAGAGCTGGCTGCTTGGAAAAGTTTCCGTTCACAGCAAGTATTGTTGCTACTCGCAGCAGAACCCCTTCCCCCATTTCCCTGTCATTCAAAAAAAAGCCGAGCATCTGCACTCAGGAGGAAAACCCACACAGCTCTCCTCACAATGCTGCAACAAGTCTGCTAACCTGCAGTCCGGCTAAGACACAACAGTGAGAAATGGAAGTCATCAGTGACTATTAATCAATACCCTGTCGGCCCCATTATTGGGGATGAAATTAGTTTCTGGCACATTTAAATCATATTCTCATTAATAAAAAATTGTAATTACTTTTCTCTCACTTCTTTATTTAGTGAAAACATTCATGTTTTGTTGTTCCTCGTGAGATCTGAAAAGAAAATAATAAATCCTCTATGGACTGATTATGGTTCCCTTGTTATGCTTATCTGCAAGAGGGGACAAATATATGGAAGGAGTGTCAATGTTTTCTCACAGTGCATGCTAATACACAATGTTCAAACGCTGCTGCTGTTTTAATATTTTTATGCCAGAGGGATGGAGGTGGGCACATTCCTCTTGACATACAAGTAAATAGCATTGTGAGCTTCCACGGCGAATAGATTCCACTCCTGGCCATAACAAGTCTTAGGCTTTGTGTTTTTAAATATGTAAGCTGACCTTTTCTATCTTATATTAAAATAACTACAGGCAAACACAGGCAGCAAAATCTGCATTAATGAGGGATGGGGTTATTTCTTTATTTCCCTGCAGCCTTCCCTCGTCATGAGTTTGCTTCTTATCTTTATCTCACTGCACCTAAGTTTTGTTAAACACAAAAGAAATGTTAGTGCTCGATGCAGACTTTGAAAGAGAAAAATGTGTGAAAGGCTGCGGCATGATACCTGCAGAATGCCTCAATAAATCCATTCCTCCAATGTTAAATTTCCACACTTTAACTGCCACTTTGTTGGTACTTGAGAGTCAGAGGAAAGAAATCTGAATGCTGCGCATTTGTGTCAGAGAGTTTAATTTGAGAAATAAAAAAACAACACAGCGGGAAACTCATTTCAATGGGTAATTACGTCCATGCAGTATTGCTTGCAGGGCTTAACAAGGTGCGTAATGATGTCCCCCTTCCCCGGCGATAAACATCATCACTATGTCCATTTCCTTCTCTGTATTTCCCAGTCTCTCATTTCCATGAAGACCCATCAACCTGACGCCTAATGCCATTATCGCCCTTTTTGCAGCCAGGCACGTGTCCAGTAAAAATCCTTCAATATAAACTGTTAGGACAACTGATGCCATTATGTGCCCGTGTTTGTCCTACTAAAAATCCACCTGCTTTGATGTGTACTGAGTTTACGAGAAAGTTAATTCTTCCCACATGATGCAGCTTTTTCAGATATCCTTTCTTTTTTACTGAGTTGTTGTTTTTAAGCGAGTCGATTATGTTTAAAGATGGATGAGTGATTAAAGTCAATAGAACCATATGGCTGATTTCCTCTTTCTCTCTTTTTTTAAAAACGTAATCCTAAGCTTTTCTGTGTCTACAATCATTAAAAAGTCTACAGCCTTTATACTTTGATGATTTCATTAAGATTTTCAGCCATTTGATGATTCTATCCAGGACTGTGCTAGAAAAATACTTTCTGCAAACTTACACTCAAAACACTTTCCTTTGTTATCCCTACACGTTGAGCAGAACATTGAAATAATCACACTGTTTGTTCCTTTTCAGGGCAAAAAAAAAAGGAGCATCTTGTACTAACAATAGAAGCGTGGCATTATTGCTTTCTGTAGAGGCTGATATGGTTTGTGCAATAAAACCTCTCCTCATCCTCACACTGTATTTTACAGAGAGAAATAACATGTTTCAGGCAGTAGCAATACAGGTTGAGCAAAATCATTGGCATTCTATAAATAGCTCCCTCTGCCCTCCCCTGTTCCTCTCTGTCTCTCCTCGTTTTGCTCGGCCTCGCCGTTTCCCTGCACTATTACTCCCTCTGTATGCTCATGTAGTCACATGCTGTTAAGGACACATACGGTGACATGTGTACATCAGACGCCGTCGCTCGTCTGTTTTGACTCCTAAGCTCTTTGGCTGGATGCTCTGATTCCAGCGAGAGGGTGGTAACCCGGCGGGCCCGGCTGCTTCTGACTGGCTGCCTGCGGTGGTTATGTCATTTCATTGTACCTCCGCGACATCGGGAATGACATGCAGTGATGGGGTGTTGCGGGTTGGGGTCAAGGCTATAAAAACCCAACCGAGTGTAAAACTAGCCCTGCTTGTGCATGAAGTGAAAAGCATCTTGTTGAGTAATGCCACAGAATCAGCCGGCAGCTTCAACAGCTCTGTGTTAAACAAAAAGGGAGGAGCCAGCTGAGAAATGCAATAAGAGGCCGGCGACTACATCACTGTCACGCTGTTAATTTATTTCTGACAGACTCGGCTTTATTTCACCTTATAAACACTGACACTTGAAAAGCAGAGCATTTCTGAAGCCCTTGCCTTACAAATAACCTCTCTAAATAATTAACAGGTTCATCTGCCACTCAATCAGTGCGCGGCTGAAGCTTCTGGAGATGAAACGATTCTCTCTCAAACCCCCTTTTGAAAGGAGGAGACTTTAAAGAATGCAACATACACCTCCCACTCTTCCAACACATCAAAAATAAATATGAAAAAGAGCTTTTCAGATGGAGCAGTTATGTATCCCTTTATTTATAGTGCACAGTATCAGTGTATCTGTCCTTACTTCTCTATTTTGATTGATAAAGTGCTCAGAGGTGAGGAGAATCCAGCTTTTTTTTTTACCATGACTCTGGCTTCCCATCCCTCTTAGCTTCAAAGACTGTGCGCTGGGGCTGTGTATTGGAAAGATGTCACTGTTTACACACTGTAATGCAGTTAAGGCTGTCAGTGTTAATGCAATCAAGGTCTAAAATGAATGCTTTATCTTCTTTTAAATCATGTGCTATTTGTCCCTTTCAGCACACCGTAGTTTGGCTATCCCGATGTTTGTTTGAATCAAGAAGTAATGTGCACTTTGTGTCTTGTAGGATAAGAATATCACTGAAGTACTTGTGTTTTGAGTTTCTGTCCTTGAATTAAGCATTTAAATGCAGCTAACTGAACTGACGTCAGCAAGCAACCACATCACAACAGCATAAGAGAAGCCACAGAAACATCACTGAAGAGGTAAACTTAAGCGCTTGCTATATTGGTGGCAACTGACTAGGCCAGTTAAAGAAACATTCATCTGATCCCCAAATCACATCACTGCACATCGTAAATATGGACATAAAAACTGTCTTCAGATGCCAAATAATGGAATTTTAAGCATGTTCAGCAATGAAGTGCAAAACAAAACAAAAAGTTGAAGAGACAAATTGCAGCTTTCTAAAATCTATCTTTAGAGACAATGGCAAAATCATTTGCATAAAATGAGAGTAAAACAATCCTCTACTGGTGCCACAGGACTACATATATGCATTACTGTCACTGTGACAGTATTAATCAGCTAATCAGCGAAATCTGGTACAGCACATCTCCTCTCAGTAACTGATATTAATGTCTGTTGTAGATGGTCCCAGAGAAACTGAACAATAAACTAAACCAAATCACACAACTAAACACGACAAATCTTTGGCATCTGCTCGCTGAAGTTGAAGAAAGCATTCAATTCTTCAATACAAAATGTTGATTAAAAGCCATTGAAGTGTTTAAAGAAACAACACAACCTTAAATATATATATTTCAAAACACTAGTTTTATACTGATATCTTAGAATCAGAGCTGAAAGAAATTTGATGGTTTTGTTTCTTGCAAATTTTAATGTTTATCCTGTCATAATTCGAGGACAATGACTTGACAGTTCTTGAATTAGTTCTGCTGAAAAAAAAAATCTCTCATTCACTTCTATTCACTCCTGACAATTAAACAAAAAGCTGACTGTCACAATCTGCAAAACTGAAATCATCCGGAGAGCTCTTACATTTTAACTTCAAGTACCAGCCTCAGTCTCCTACCGCAGTGACGCTTACATTCAGTGACAGTGAAGAGCTAAAAGGAGGCACACTTTTACTTCCTGCATGTTGTCCTCTCCTTATTACATCTTCAGCTGATGTTCACCACTTTCTGTCAATTGCAAGTTGTTCAATTTAATTTGAAAAAAAAAAAGGTTAAATGATTCAGCCAGAGGTAGACTGAAAATAAAGCTTGAATTACTCCTCCAAACCTGCACCATCTATTGCCTCAAAGAAGACCTTCAGAATTTTAATACATATTTTACACTTAAATTGAAAAGCTGTTAGATGAGGGGAAGATAGCAATTATTTCATCGGCTCTGCACAGAGGAAAACAGTTAAGAAGAGCAGTAAGTATGTAATATTTTCATTAACACTGGAGCTGTCCCAGAAAATCTTTTACTGAAGGACTTAATATCAAGGAAATCTTTAAACAACAGGGAGTGATGCTAATGTCGGAACATCAGTAAAAAAGTACTCTAAATGCAAAATCACATCTGATTATAGGAAATATTGGACCACACTGCTCATCCCTCCTGCTCTGAGATCCCTGAGTCGACCGTAATGATGTAAATGATAATGCAACTGTCCATATTTCAAATAAATGTGACGCTCCAAAAGAAGAGATGTTTGTGTGTGTGTGTGTATTCATGAGTATATGTGTGGGAGGAGATTGGCACTTTCAACAGATGTGTAGTACGCGCTGACAGCATGACATCTACTTTGCATGCTCAATATGACACGTCTGAATGCTCCCATGCATACTGCCCTGATGGGAAGTGATAGCGAGGGATGTGCAGCCTCGCTGGAACCACTCCCTGTTGTCTCTGCTGCATCAATATCAAAAACATCTTCCTTCCTAACAGGCAGAGACTGCTGCACAGAGACACCTCGTCAGATGTTTTGTTTCAGTTTTCATTTTCTCATTAAGGTGCCTTTGAACGACTGTGAAGACTGTACAAACAAATGCAAAATGTACATTCAAACCTCTTTTGTCTGACTCTCAACCTGACATTTCTCCATACAATGCGGCTCCTTGAGACTACAATACCTGTAAGAAACAGATGCAGGGAGCTTCTGGAGGATTGCATCAGTTATCAATTCACTTCTCTTGTATTTACACCGTGCATGCAGCGCAAACTCCAACCTCCGTTCCTCAATCATTCATCGCCTTTTTCTCATTCATTTAGTATCTGTGTAAAAGAAAAATCAACAATCTCCTACCTGAACAAGGCCAATCAATAAAGCAAGATCACTTATTTTTCTGCTCTGCTCATTATCCGGAATCACAGGTGTGCAAAGCCTTAGCACACATTACAAATTCAAAAACACATTCTAGCCAAAGGCCATTCCTTTACTGTATAATTGTCCACCCCCCCACCAAGTGATTCGCTATAATTAAGCCATGGAAGACAGCTCTATTCTCCTGTGAGCATTCATATTAGAGCTAGCACGGGCAGGTCTAACAAACATCTCACAGCTGATGCTTTTCAAAACAACGGACAGCCATGTTACGAGGTATATGCTGCTGCACGATCTCACGAGGGAGACTACAATATACACAATGCACTAGCAGGTATGAGGCCTTTGGGGAGACCTGTCACTGTTATCTTGGTCGAGTCTGCTGTGTGCGTGTGTGTGTGTTAGAGTGTGTAAGTGTGCGTGCTTTGTCTGAAGCAGGAAAAGCTCGACTCCAGCTGACATAAGCGGGATGTTTGGCTGGCCCACATACACTATCAATGCAGGAGAACTCTGCATTGATCAAAACAGACGCAGCCGTATCCTCTTTAGCTCCATTAGCAATCGGTTAATCTGACCTCCAATCCACACTCTGACTCATGTGATCATAATAACATGCATGTTAGCCAAATAAACAAACACAGAGGCATCGTTGTGCCCCTGTTTGGAAAACAAAACGCTCTTCCACCAAATGAATAAATGAATCATGGATAATTACGAAGTTGCCCTCAGGATGAGGACAATTTTTTTAGGGGGGTGGGGGGCAAAAGCAGCCTTGGTAATCACAACAGTGCAGCCACTCATGTGTCCTCGGCAGTCAATGGGATATGGGTTGAGGACTTGTGGAGTCAAGTGGTTTCAAGCCCGAGCTTGCTCATCGTAACGAAGCAATTATCAGTTGTTGCACTGCTGTTTGTTTGTGCTATAAATGGCATTGTAATTACACTGAAAACATTGCTTATTTAAGAGCAACATTTGTATATACAGTCTGTGGAGCTTCTGTCTCTGGGAAAAAAATGTCACAATGAGGAAGAAAAACAACAACGACAACTGTTGTATTCTCTTGCTACCGCTGCTTCTTCCTTAATTGTTGAACCGCACACACGTTCTCTATCCTCCATCCAGGGGAAATATGCAAAAATACAGGGTCAAAGAGATGTTTGTCAACATCATGTGCACAGCGGAGAGCAGTGGAAGCTGCATGCTAAACAGGCTCGGCCTCTATCAAAGCCAATCAACTGCCTCTAAGAAGATGAGAGAATGTGGTCGGGGGCTCAGACACCTGGCGCTGAGACTCATTCACCCTCTCTCGCTCACTTCATCCCCCTACTTATCTCTCTATCTGCCCCCTCACACGCAGCTCCCAGCTTTGCATATGGAATCATCAAAATCAATCTTCGACCCCATTTGTCTCCCTCTCCACTTTTTCATTAGCTGAAACAAATAAAGGCTCTCCTAATCCTGCGGCAAATGGGCTTTTATTGGATGTTTAAGCCACAGAGACAGGATGCTGCTGGAGCTTTTCACAGCCAGGGTTGATTTCTTTGTGCAGCCCCGGCCCCACCACTTCATTTTCTCCTCTCCCTCTTTGGCAGGGAAAAAGGGTGGTGTTGACCTGCGCAGCGCTACCTACCAGCAAATACAATCACAGCATACGGGTCACTGCATGTGCCCGCTGAATCCCCCCACCTCTGCCTCTCCACTGACCGGATAACACCACAGGACAACAAGCCCACCCCCACTCCCCTCATTCTTTCCACCTGTGTTATTCACGCACACACTCAGTCAGAACCGGCTCAGACAGGCCCAGTAAATCAGCACGCCTGTAAGTAGGTCTCATTGACCCCTCAGGATCCATCGGTGCCTGGATCTCTCTAGATCACACAGTCAATACATCAATATCCATCTTGTGTTTCTTGTTTTAAGACCCCCACTCCCAACCCCACGCCTCCACCTTCTTCTCACTGAATGTCAAACGGAGATTGGAGTCATCAATTACAAGCGAACGTATGTGTGTATGTGTGCAGGGAGCTGGAGCTTATTTGCTGCTGTCTATAGGAGTGAGCACAAACACTCACACTGATGCACATTTTTGTGCATGCGCTCACACATAAATGCGCCTTCTCTCCCATGGGAGCAAGGAGAAGTGAAGGGAAGGAGAGAGGTTGCCCAAACAATCCGATAGAGCAGTTCATACATATAGAAATCTATAAACTAAAGATCAGCTGGGTCTGCATACACTCTGTCAGCCTGCTTACACGTCAGACCTTCACTGCTCTGCTGGAGTCTCGCATGGTATGTCAGGGAAATTCAATGGCTGGCTGTGCAGAGCGACCATGCGCTAACACTGCAGCCAAATGGACAACAAAACGGATAAAAGCATTTAAGCAATGATTATTCTTTCTGCTAGCACCTGAAATGATTGCTGTGTGCTGGAGCTGATTAGCTGGGTCAATACATCTGGCAGGAGCCCAGACTCCCGCTCATTTTCTTTTCTTTTTTTATTTTTGTCTCTCTCTCTCTCTCTTTTTTTTTTTTTTTTTGCAATAGCTCAGCACACACAAAAATAAAAGGGGGAAAAAAGAGTAAACAACTGGTGTGAGCAAAGCCAAATAATCCACTTTGTCAGGCCTCCAAATTCTGCTTGGCAAAGCGCTTCAGCCAAGTCACAGGTCAGTGTCAGCATCACAGTCTCGGCCCTTTAAAATGCCTGGAAAGATTCAGCTCAGATGGACTGACACGGCGTCACACATGCCATCTCGAATAGCTCATCTTTCCGTCAATAACAGACAGATTCAGTGTGACTCTAATGGGTGGCACAGTGGAATGATAACTCTTTCTAGATCTTGAGGTGTGATGAAAGGAGGAGCATTGGATGTTTAAATCTCATTCAATAAAGGCTATCACTGAAAACTTTGTGATATTCTGATACCATTTATTCCTCTGTTACTGATTTAGACTCAAGTACTCCCAATACTGCTAGACCCACCAGTAAGATTTCAAGAAAATACACATCATGGGTGGAAAAATAATGATTGCAGGGGCTTACATTACTCTGTTCTCTTCGGTGGAGAGTTTTCGCTTGTTATTGTTACATCATAATTTACCCAAAAGCAGTCGATTTTTTCAGGGGCTGCTAAAGTACGGAAACAGAGCAGCTCATTGATTGGTGTATAAGGAAATAGCAAAGGAACATACTGTACTGCACAACCTAAAAGAGGGAAAGTATCAGTGCCATTAACAGTATCGCCTCTGCCGTCCTTATTATTGACAGAGGCTCATATCAGGAGAACAAAGAAGAAAATCAGAGGTTTCTTTACAATCTGAAACCTAAAGTTTTGAGGTTGAAATCATTATTTTTGTTTCCCTAACACCCAGATCAGCCCTTCCAAGGATTCAGGGTAGAGCACAGCAAATCATATCTCACCTCTGGCAGTGGCATGCCGTTGATGATGAGGTCTGGCTGCTGGTGGCCCTGCCCAGTGAACGGGTGCTGATAGCCGTGGTTGGGCGCGGCATTGCGCGAGTTCTGGTTCTCCACGTTGAGGAAGGTGCTCTCGGAGCGCCTGCAGCCCAGCGGCAGGCTCTGCTGGTGGTAGTCGAAGTAGTTGAGCGGGGAGGTGAGAGACGAGCAACTCACCACATTCATCTTGTCCGTCTCCTCCACGTCCCGCGGCACCAGGCGGATGTCGTTCTTGCTCAGCTTCTTCTTCTTACTGGACTTCTTCTGGTTGCCGTATGAGTACTCCGCCACCCTGCGCAAGTAGAAGAAACTGAACAGACTCAATAAAGCAGTGTTCTGCCTTCCCCCTCCCATGTCCACACGGTCAAAAAGCTCGCCCGCCATGCCAGCTAGGCCCACTGTTCAACCATGGGTGCCAGGTGAAGGCCCACTGCATGAGCCCCGGGGGTTGAACTGCACACTTAAGTGACTTCCCACTCCCGGTTTGCAATGGAGCCCTCATCCCTTGTTTGTTTGCATTTGCATGCTCAACAATAGACATGTCACAAACAGGCAGACAAAATGCAAACATGCCAAAACCACAGAAGCGTAGAAGCAAAAAAGAACACACAGCTTTTGAGCAGCACTACCGGTATATGCAATCATATTCAAAGCACACAGCCCACACTAATTCCATTTTTTCTTTCATTATCATGCTCCCCAGTAGCAAGACAGAGTGCAGGAGAACTGCAGATTCAGATTCATTTAGCTGCTCTTAGTGGCTGCTGCAAACTTGAGCTGAGTATTTTGACTTTAATAAGAGCAAATGAGCAACACAGCCATGTTTTATCAAAGGAAACTCCGACGGGGGGAAATATTCATTCTTCGCACAGCCTTGCAGTTTTCCACCGTAGAACAGCTGCTCTGCACTCTACAGTGATGACTACAAACTTCACTAGACATATTTCATACAATTTGGGATGTTTTCTACCATCTGCATTGCTTCAAACCCTGGAAGAGGCCATTTTGAACCTTAAGGCTTGGAATAAATCATTTACTTTCCTCCAAAGCCTGCAACAGAACCATCATTATCTTTGAAATTGCAATATCTGGAATGTGTCTGTTTCTGCCTCTTGTATTGTCTTGAACATCTTTGCTGCACCAGCCCCCACTGGCCTGTGTTCCTCACTAAAAGGCAGCTCTAATCCTCAGTCGCTTTTCAAATCACACTGTTAAAAAGCCCCTGTGTACTTTGTCTTTTTCATTTTTCTTTTAGATTGCATCTCAGAAACTGCTCCCTCCCCCCCATTTCCCTCCCAACACCTCCCGATTTAGAGGAGAGAAAATAGGAGGCTGCAAGGAAATACTCCATCTCTTTTTCATTTATCATTTTAACATGTAGTGTCTCCAGTCTGAGTCCAAATTGAAATCTTTGAGGGGAAATCTTCAGAGTCAGACCGACTGACACAGGACAAGCAATAAATTGGAGATAACCGCTCCTCAAATTCGAGGTGGCGACTGAGGAGTACAGCACATCAGAGCTGATTAAAGCTCCCAGAAGAGACAGAGAGAGGCTCACACAGGCAGAGGAAAAGACTCACAGCAGTTTGAAATTTAGGATTTTGTTGTTGTCGATCATTATTTCTTCTCTTGAAACATGCCAGACAGGGTGAAAATAGGATATGGCGTTAAGAACTGGTTGTGATCGAGATGTCAGCACACTGATAATCTTTTGTCGGAGTTGTTTGGCTTTCGTACAACGCAGTAAGATGTGGGTCTTATTTTTGTTTACATTGTAAATCTTCCCCCATCTAGAGTCACTAGTGTTACATTTCATCAAGTGACACATATGCACTTAAAAAGAGGAGTTTTTAAGAGCCTAACATGGTGCTGAAAAAGAAAACAGTTGACATGTATCAAAAAGGGGAACTCAGAGCGATATTTGGGGTTGTTTAGACTATTTTTCCTGTGCTCCATGCATGAAATATGGCCTGAGTTACCTTCAAATTAACAAAATTATGTTTGGAGCATAATATGATTATAGCTGCAGGTTAAATTCTCAAATCCAATCTATATGTAAATTCATGGTGGTAATGTGGTACAGGGAAATCAAAGCCAGAGCTGATGATCTGATTGATGCACAAAACAGAGTTCAATATGCAAAGTCCAGAAAATAATAACCTCCTTCTCTCCATGAAAGAGGCTCAATGTGGCTGGTGGTGACTTTTTAAATTATGAGCTTTTGACTCATCTGAGCTCTATTTTGTGAAGATGTCATTTTTTTGTGTTTATCTAACACTGTTTGATTTCTCAGTGCTGTGAGAAGCAAACGTAATTGTGAACGACAGAGACTACTGTCCATAATCGCTGCAGATTAGAGCTGATAACAGCCAATCAGCCACGGTGCACGTTAAATAATAAATGTCTGTGACTGCTATTGAACCAGTGGGACGTTAATTGTCCGGCAACACACCCGCAAATTGAACATGGCAGTTGAACGGTCATATTTATGAGTCAATTGGTTACAATGGGTGGATTAAATCAATCAATCACATTGTCCTTAACGCGGAACAGCAGGGGGGGCCTCCTCAGCGGAATGTTTCTGATTTAAAGCAGTCACTTTCAGTGTGTTCACTTTCAGTGTGTGTGTGTGTGTGTGTGTGTGTGTGTGTGTGTGTGTGTGTGTGTGTGTGTGTGTGTGTGTAAAGAAGGAAAAAAAAATCTGCAGTCCTCACAGTCGGGCCTCTACATGCTGCATGACAAAAGCAACCCACTGACAACTCGCAGTTTCAGGCACGATGGCGGGCAAACGCACGGGCGCACACACTCACACCCACATACACACACACGCACACACACATGAGACTGAGTCAGTACCTGCAGTTGTAAGTCCGGATCTCCTTGTTATCCCTCTTGCACTTGACCGCCACAAAAATCATGGTGACGAACAGGATGGCTGCGATAGAGCCAAGCGCGATGATGAAGATGAGGGACAGGTTGACAGGTCCGATAGGCTCCTGCGCGTTCAGGTCTGGAGAGAGGTACACCACGATGTAGGCCGAAGCGGACAAGGAGGGCTTGCCGTGATCCCGCGCTACTACAGTGATCTCATACGTGGATTTGGCGTTTTCTCCAAACATCCGTGTTGAGCGCACCTCTCCATTCACCTGGTCGATCTCAAAAAAAGCCCTGTCCCCTTCCGAGATGGTGTAGGTCAGCCTGCCGTTTTCCCCCTCGTCGTAGTCGTCTGCTTTCACCTGGGTCACCATGTATCCAACCCCTGCATTTCTGGGGATGGACACCTCTGCTGTGCCATTAACCAGGGGAGGGTTTGTCATAACAGGTGTGTTGTCATTCACATCCAGGACAACAATACGCACTGTGGCGTTGCTGGATAAAGAGGGGTTACCATTGTCTCTTGCCAAAACTTTAAAATCAAAAGTCCTGGTGTATTCGTGGTCGAATGATCTCATGGAGTAAATGCGGCCTGATGGGTTTATACTGACATATGTGTTTACATCCATGTGCTTAATCTCACCGGGGACTATGGAGTAGGAAACTGTGCCATTCATGCCCAGATCTGGGTCTTCTGCTGACACAGCCAGCAGACACGAGCCGGGGAGGTTGTTCTCCATCACCATCTCTTGATAGTGCGGTTTGAGGAAGTGGGGAGGGTTATCGTTTTCGTCTGTGACTTTGACTACAAGAGATTTGGTGGCGCGCAAAGGGGGGATGCCACTGTCCTCCGCTTGGATGGTCAGGTTGTACGTGTCCTTCTGCTCCCTGTCCAGCCTGCCATCAACAAGTATGGTAGAGAAGCTCTCGTATTCTTGCAGTCTGAACGGCACGTTGCCCTGCAGCCTGCACTGCACTTTGCCGTTTGCCCCAGAATCCTTATCTGACACCCTCACCAGCGCGATGACATACCCGCGCTGCGCGTTCTCGCTAACTTCCACCATCTCCGTGTTCAGGGAGAGTAAACTGATGACAGGTGGGTTATCGTTTGTGTCCATCACGTTCACGGTGACTTTGCAGTGAGCTGGGATGGAGTTGGGACCTAGATCTTTCGCCTGGACGTCGATCTCGTAGATTTGCGCCGTTTCGTAATCCAAAACCCCGTTGACGGTGATGATCCCGGTTCTGGGGTCAATTTTAAACGCGTCCCTCGTTTTCTCGGTGACGTAACTGTGAAACGAGTACACCACCTCTCCATTGGTGCCCTCGTCAGGATCCGTCGCATTCAAGTCTATGACTAAAGTGTTCATGGGGGAATTCTCCATAACATTCACTGTATACACCGTCTCGTCAAAAACAGGGTTGTTGTCATTCGAATCTATCACCTTGATATTTAACTGGACCGCGCCTATCTTAGGAGGGTCTCCTCCATCTTCTGCACTGATTTCATACGTATAGTGGGACTGTGTCTCCCTGTCTAACGATTTTTGCACAACAAGCTCTGCTATTTTGGACCCATCCCCTCTGGTCTTTATTTCCAGTCCGAAAAGCTCATTTGGGGTGATTGAATATGATTGCACTCCAAAGATCCCCGCGTCCGGATCGCTTGCCCCCTCTAGGGGAAACCTGGTACCAGGGGAGGCATTCTCAGAAATCTCAATATCAATGTGACTCGTCGGGAATCTGGGTGCATTGTCGTTCAAATCCTCAATCTCAACTTTGATGACACAGATCTCCATAGAGTTTGACATCACTTCTAGGGAAATAATGCACTTGGGGTTCTGTCTGCAAACTACATCCCGATCTATTTTCATTTGGGTTGTAAGGATTCCGGCTGGACTCAGTTCCACCCATCGCGGCTCAGAATTGGAAATAACCCTTAAGTACGGGGGCTGCGGTGCAATCTGAAATCCCTGCTTTAGCGCGTCCTTTGTCACATTCCCAATCACTGAGCCGGGCTTCATCTCCTCGTTTATTCCATACTTCAGGTTGATGACAGCCTCAGTCCCGACCCAAAACAAGAGGAACACAGCGATCAGTTGTATTAATTCCATTTCCTTGCTGTGCATTGTACCTGTTGAGTTTTTTTTAGATTAAGACCTTGATAATTACGCGCAAGAATGCACGTCAGAGAAGAGAGGGAAAAGGCTCCAAATGACTCATCTCATTTAAGTGTCCGGTGAAAAAGTGTTTTGGTGACGAATAGGTCTCGTGTTATGCAAATTAAATCATGGTGAGAAAGCTAGAATTATTACAAGTGCCTCAGCCTATTTGACTCTTCTCAGGCGCAGCACATCCTCCGGTCTGCTGCAGCGGACAGAAGAGATCTGCGAGAACATGCTGAATCTTCTCACAACAGTGATTTAGCCGTGTAAATCCGTGCAGCTCTTATCAAGCGGCAAAAACATGATGAACTGTCCATATTCAAGTGCGCAAGAAGGAGGGCGAAGGCTCGGACTGCATAGACACAAAATGAGAATTCCTGGGAGCAGCAAAAAGTCCACAAATTTTTGAAAAATGGTTCAAAAGTCCGCGTTAGATTCTCCGCCTTGCTGCAAAAAATTAAGTCGCATTCTGCATGAAAAAACACACACTGAGTGGCACAGAACAAGCTGTGATAATATTTCCTCTTCGGCCGGCAGCTATGGTGCTCTAAAACTGCACATCTGATGAAAAAAGGTACGAGAATCTGCAGTCACAAAATTATTCAACAGCTTAAGTCCGGGTATCTTTGCCTAAAGAATAAGGGTGCATTTGCAGGAATGTCTCATCACATCAATGAGGACCCGATTACCTCTTTTTATTATTTCCAGCAAATTTAGTCTCTCACCCCTTCCGCAAGTCTTCAAGCTTTTACTTACTAATTAATTTCCTCGTATCTCACTTAAAAAGGCAGCACGTATCCCGATAATTAGTCCATGCAACACGCACAATCCGATGAAAATACAGCCAAAAGCCAGTGGCAGAAAAAGATGTAAGAGCCTAGTGCATGTCGCCTATAAAGCGAATTTAGGGGCTGCAGCAAAGTAGAAGCATAGACGCCTATATCCAGCCTGGTGGAGGCAGAAAAAAGAAATCACCACTCGTTGCCAGTAGGCTGTCTGTAGTTGACTCCAACAAGCGCTCCTCTCGCTTCACTGGTGCACACTGGCGGACGCGCAGCTCCGAGCCGAGCGCTCAGTCTCAGGACCCGCAATCCCCTCAGCCAATCAGGGGTTACACAGGAGGGCTGGAGCTGCTGGTGGGAGGGGCAAAGTACAGGCGAAGAAACACGGCCAACTACCTGTTCTCCTGCAGATGGACGACTCAACGGGCAATTACAGACTACAAGTCTGCACTTAGATGTTAAGATGATTGTTTTCTAAAAGCAGATATCCGGGGACTCGTCAGGTTCCTAGAGAGAGGGATGGGTGCTGCAAAAGTAGAGCTACAGACTCTTTTTTTCTTTTTTTTGTAGAGGACATGCAAAGGATAACTTTTCACTTCTTTTTTTTTTTGTTTGTTTTCTTTTCTGCGGCAGTATTCCTTTGAGTTTGCAACTCAGAGCTTCTCAATTGGGATCCCGGACTTCATGTGGATCTGTTTAATCCCTAAAAGTTTGAGAACCTCTGCGCCAAAAGAAGAAAGCTTCCTCGAGCAGTGGGAAAGCGGTTTCCACTATCTTTAAAAGTCTTTTACACAGTCAAGAGCGGGAGGGCCTGTTGATCTAGCCTACGGTATATACCAATTGCAACTGTACCTCTGATGTTTCATCATTTATACACCAACTTTTATGTGCGTGTGTGTGCGCACCACATCTCGACTGAACCTCAGCAGCAGCAGCAGCATGTATGCGCCTTGGTGAGGCAATTCCTCAATAACCAACAAACGGTATGGATTATGGGTTGCTATGTAGGCGCATGCTGGGAGGAAATCTTGCCATGGGCTGAATCAATACATAAATAAGCCACGTTTTACTCTCCAAGGATGTCAGGAGGATAAAAAAAAGAAAGGTGTCCAGGACTAAATGTGACCCCTGGACACCTTTATTATTACTTACACAGAATACACCGGGATGTAAAGAGTTAAATGTCATTTCAAACAGCCCTTGCAATGAATGTTTCCACTTATATATAACATGAAGTGCAATTTTGGTCATTTTTACAGTACGCTACTAGTGTCGACCAGTGCGCATGTCACCAAGAGCGTCAGACTATAACATCACATTCAATGACTAAATGAATGAGATATCATTTTCATACAACATATTTCCCACACTTTTATGAAATGACTAGTATTATCAGCTGCTCAGTCCATGTTTATGCAGCTCAGCACTGATTTAGATGCTCTCTGACCCCATTCTTCGTAAGAAAAAGCGACAACAAAACAGAAACAGAGAGAATACTGCCTATTATTAAGCCGGTCCCTTCTGCTTTATCACCGTGTAATTCTACTTGACATCATACCGGTGCTCACATTGTCGTGAACAAATCACGCCTGTCACGTGTCAGCCTCAAAGAAAGTGTGCAAAAATAAAGAGGGTGATTATAAAGTTCTACATATTGCCTCTCATCATCATCATCACCCTCCTCTCTCTCTCAAATCTCGCCCTCCTCATTCAGAGAGAAGTGTCACTCGGTCACAGCCGGTTCCTCACACTCACGCTCACAGAGAAACACACACATACACCCTCCTCCCATGCAGCAAGTCTGCCTCCACAGCACGCGCTCAGACGCCATCACTTCCTATGGAGGACAGGCCGGTTTCAAAGTCACAAGGGTGACACCTAGCGTCCGCTTGCTTCTGTGATTCTAGTCTGTCCATTATGGGCTATTTCTTCACCCCCGAACTATTTCACCCTCTATTTTATGTTTTAACTTTATTTATTAATATTTTCACGTGCAGAACATGTTATTAAACAACGAAGGTCATGACATACAGCCTCTTCCCCACACCCACCCTCACCCTTAGGAGGCAAATGAGAAGGTAAACAACAAATGCTGTATAAGATTAAAGTTCACCAATATGGATAAATCTATACAGTGATTGAAGAAGTGAGTATATAATTTAAGAACCAGAGAATTAGGTGAACAGATAAAGGAGGAGACCTAGAATTAATAATGAATTGCATAATACTAAGATTTAAAAAAAAAAAAAGGAATAAGTGATGCTAAGATTTCTGTTATCTGTCCAATATTACCAGATAAAAGTGACAGCATTTCTCACCAAATCCCAAAAATTTCATCTCATATGTACATGGATCAAGCAACAACAACAAAAAAAAACATCTCAATGCAGTGTTGAAGATCTGACATGTGTGACAAATGAACACCCATATTTTATGAACCCAAGAATAACAATGAGACTCGCTCAAACATAAATTTGATTCTTTAAATTAACAAGTTCACAGTTTGAGTAAAATTAACATGCTGCTCCAAGAGGACTAGTTCTGAAATATTCAATCATTGCAAATTTGTAAGGAGTGATTGAACTGTATATGGACGGAAGAATCAGACTTTTGTAGTGAGATGCGGATATAAAATTGAGTCTTTGCCATAAATAAAACAAAATATAAATATGCTTAAGTGTGTCATTCTCTTAAACACGGAGGATGAATAGTGGCAGCTTATATTGGCCTATTTTCAGCTACTACTTGGACATAGAGCTGAATATATTAATAGGAACCTTTTTGTTACTGAATATTACGAGACACTAAAGCATAAGTGATGATAAGCTTCAAGAGTGTAGAATCACTCCCCATCGTATCTGAATAATACTGTAGTGGAATAAATAAAGGAATTCGAGGCCAAACTGTATCATAAAAGAGTCCCTGTTAAACGCCTCAGATGAGACGTTTGTGAAAATATTTCCTCCTCTCTTGCATAATGCACTGGCGTCTTGACAAACAACAAAGTATCAACAAAGCAACTTGTTTGCTCCTCTATAACACTTTTCAAGACATGTTGCTGTGGCATAAGGGAAAGTGCTGCAAGAATCTTTAAGCTTATAAATTCTTAATGTCGGCGAGTTAAACAACCGTAGGCGGTGGCAGGGGACTGTCTTTTACCTTGGGGCTTTCTGATGGCTGTATGAACAGCACTGTGCATGGTGCATGAGGCATTTCGATCAGTCTCTGATGATGTTACAGACGCTTGTATTGCCAGCTGAACAGGTGCAAGTTCTCTATGGTAAGAATGCCAATTTAAGTACTAAGAAATATTATGTCTTTTTTTTTAATACTTGATGTCTGTAAATGTTCATGAGACTAGACTTCTTCTATGTGAATAGAACTTTTGCGAACATATTTTGTACATTTAAAGCATCCATCATACTATTCTATTCTATTTACCCCACAGAATCAAGGACCCAATGTACTTGGGCCTGTGAGTTTTGGTCCAATTTGCATTTCTACTAGAGGAGACGAGGGTTAAAATGTTGCAGGTGTTCTTGTCCCTGCTGATAAGTGCAGCGCCGAAGAAAGAAGAAACAGCAGTGCCCGAAGCAGCAGGGTTGATCATAAACTACAGCGCAGTAATTTAGCCTCAATGTATTTCTTTCTCTGCAACAGTGGTGGCATATTTCATTTATGAGCTACCATCTACCATAATATACTTCCTGCTGTTTGACGCTCCTTTGTGTCCTTTATTGATTTTACCTCTGCGTTAAAATCCTTAAATTTTCCATCGTGATTGGTGGTGCATTGACCGTGCAGCATCAGTGTTTGTTTTCACTGCTGTTATTTTGGTAGGTAGGTGGAGTAAGGAGAAGACCTGATTGTGAGTGTGCGAATGTGTTTACTTGTCTGCTGATTCATTGAACTGTCAGTCAGACAAGGTCAGAAGTGTCTGACCAACAGTGCTTTATGTTCTGGCTTGATTTTTGTTTTTCTCAGTAGAACAGTACGTTCTGACAGACATGGCCATCATTAAAAATGAAAACAAAAAACAAAGCATTTACCTCCAATCGATCGATTCTTAAAAGAATGAAGAATTTGAAAAGGGAAATAACTGTTTTCTACAGAATTGTTAGTGCAGTTCAAAACTATCACACAAAATACAGTGAAAAACCTCAACAAAAATATTGAGCACTTGGCTGTACCTGAGATTAGAAGATATTTCAGACGTTTTAATGCAATTTAATCTACCTCCCACTGTTTCTGATGAAAATCAGGCAGCCTTGAAACACTGAAGTGCTCTGGGTTATCTGTGACCACAGTTTCTTTCACTAACTGTTAAGGTATTTCTATTGAAATACTATACATTTCCACACAGGAAGCACTACTTTTTGTGCTTATTATAGATTACTATAAGGGCAATTAAAAAGCCAAAATGTGAAATTCATTCTCCTTTTTTTTGTTTTTGTTGTATGAATGAATAGTTAAGAGGGGTTGTCATGGGTGGCGTCTCCCTTTTTAATTGCAACCTTGGACTTGGTCTGAGCTGCGGGGCAATATTGGGGAAAATCACAATATTGTTACATTTTATCCACTTAGGGTTTAAAAACAAATCTACTAATTGACTTCTTAAACCATTGTGTGCAATTATCAACAAGCCATATTAGTACCACTTAAAAGAGGGTTGGCAGTGGCTCTGAAATGTAGGCTAACATTGTGTTTTATTTTGAAAAGCCACACTGTTACACATTTCCTTTTTAAGTAGTTCAAATGGGACTTGGAATAGCGTGACAACTCATGGTGGGATACTTGAGATGTTTGAGTCAGGAAATACAATTTTCATTGTGCACTGGCACTATACTTTCAACCATTTGAAATAAAAATTCAACAAGTAGAATTAAGTGGTTGTGAAACCCTTATCACAGACACATTGATTTAGTTTATAATGCACAGACCTGGCATGCTTGTGCAGAACACCGGCTACACGAATGGTGCACTAAATGAATCTACTGCATTGTTAAGTTGCACATGTTGAGCATGGCAACACAACTCTTCAAAGTTTTCCTAAGCTCTCAGTGTTTTAGGATAAGTGCTCTGTGCTCTTTAAGTAACCAAGTAGTTGACTTACTCTTACTTCTTTAGAGTAAGCAACAGGTTCAAGTCTTAATACTTTTGACTTTGGTCAAGGTTGTTTTTGAATTGATTACTTTTGTCGCAATAAATCTGTGGTCTACGTATGTGATAAAATTGCTACACAGATTTCACCTGCAAGTCTGAGGCTTGAGTAGTCAATAATTTCTTTATCTCCTTCCAGTTTGAGTCAGAATAACTTCAATCTTTTGAGAATATCATTAAATCAACATGCAGTGATGCTGCTTTGAAACCTACAAGGAGAGGAAATTCATTCATATAAAAAAACAGCATTTATCATAGAAATTTATAGTTATAGACTGACTGCAGTTGAAGAAACAAAGAAGTCTAAAATCTCTTATATGCCAGCTTGATAGGCTTAGAAAGAGTGCACAGTGTCTGAGTGTGTTTTTTGTTTCTTTTCAAATCAGGCTCAAAGTACTTGCAATCAGGTATGTGAAATGAGGTCAACAGATTTTGAGTGTTTTGATTCACCGGTACAAGTTTATTAATTATTAATGAATTTATTGGCATTATGATTTATTGTATACTTTTAGATGGAGCAGGTAAAAGACAGTCCTGGTGATATTATGAAGTCAGAATGTGCACAAATAACTTTTTTTAAAGTGAAGAATATACAAGACGTTTTTTTTTATCCCACAGGTCACACCTCTACACTTTGTTCCTAAATTCCCAAATGGCATCCATTCCCGGCATTTTAACAGGAAAGTCTCATTTCTTGACAATATTTTGTACAGAGATCTGGACATGTTTGGCACCAAGAAGAAAAAAAAGGCGAAAAGTAATCAAAGGCACAGAAAGGGACGTATAACATCTCAAACTGAAAACCTGTCACAGAGACCTCAGTGACCAAAAATAATTACGGCCACACGCCTGAAACACACTTCACTCAGGGGCAAGACCATTGTTTCTACTGGAAACAGATTTCGAAATATTGAGGTTTGAGTCTGCACAGAGGTTTATCTTCAAATTCTAGTCAAAGGCAGAGCTAGGCTACTTAAGTCCATGAGAATTTCACAACCTCACACTGGTTTTGAGCATATTTGAAGCATTTGTGATGGAAAGCTTGAACCAATGCAGTTGAAAGTACATAGAGAATGACTGATTTTACTTCATATCATTTTTTTCTCTGCTGCCAAGGAATGGCACTTGTCTGTAGTCTGTCCCTGCTGCTTGCTTGGAAAGGAATATCTAAGCTGCTCTGACAGATGCTGGCATTATCACCCCTATGTCCTGCCCGCCACTGGAACTTGGCCCGTGC